ATCTAGATTAGGAAACACCAGCTTAGAGGTAACCAGTAGTGTTCGAAAAGTTGTCGTAGGATAACGGTTTAGAATTGACTGTATATATAAGATAGTGAATACTTATGACTGTAATGAGAAATGATGATATATTGACTCGTGAACAATAACGATCGAGGTAAAATAACGCTATTAATTGTAAGTTTTTTGTATTTGTATAAGTAATAATATGTCATAATAAATTTTAGTTGCTGAAAAAGTCCCAAATATAGGGACGAAACATTCAACTGATTAATAGATTGTTCATCTAATTTAAACCTGTCCAAAAAAAATATTCCTAAGATTGAACTTAGTAATATTATTTATAAATATACATACACATTTTTCTTTTTCGTTTACTTTTAAATTTGATTAAAAAGCCAACATAACAATTATTCGCTTGATAAAACAAATTTATCAAATTTATTCTTCCAATAGAAGCAATAATAGCTTATCTATATAATTTATCTATATAATTTATATATTATGATGTATAGATTAGATGAGCTATCAAAGAAATATAACGAAAATACTTATTTTATCTATGACAATAAATCTCTACGATTTTTTCAAATACAAATTTATAAAATAAAATAATTATATTTAAATATAATAATCTCGCGGTGTATATACATATACACGCTAATTAGTTATATAAAAAGAAACATATATAACATATATATTATTTACTTACTTTAATGAATAAACGTTGACAATGAGATGATATTTTATTATGGAAAAAATATCACACACTTACATTAGATTCATTTTAGGTTCATTAAAAATTCTTTCTTATAACTCATGTTTAGATCACCTTAATAATCGCTCAACCATGGCATCCACGTACCATTCCAATGTTCAGGATAAGATGCTGGATCTATGGGTTGATAGATTTGGTTAACGACTACTTTTCTATAATCATCGATGTAGTTACGTAAGTAAACGGCGATCTGTAAAATTGTTATTCGTTAAGATAATCGATAAAAACTAATTTACAATAACAAATGTTACATATGTGGCAATAATTATGAAAGTAAGTTTTAAATTTAAGTCATATATCTCTTGTTTCGATATATTTAAAGAACACTAAATGAATTCTAATATAATATTGAAATAACAAAACATTATCTGACGGTTCATTTTTGACAATACATCGTAAACATTACATTGAATTTATTTAGTTTCAAATAATGTGAAATAACTGATAAATACATTTTGTTTTTTTTAAATTTTGACTTATGGTAGATCACTTTTATAATTATTAGCACATATATCATTTTCGTTTGATTTACCTCAGGATTATTTTGAGAAATATCGGTAGTTTCGCACGGATCGATAGAAAGATCGAACAAGCAATGATCAATGCAATACGTCAAATCTTTCGGATGTTTACAAATTACTTTGGTATTTTGACGAAGCTGTTGGATTTTCTTAGCCGTCAATTGTTTTTTCGTAATGTCTGATATGGCACGACCTGCCAGGGATGACATAACATCTAACGGTTCGTATTTTGGATAAGAACTGTCTGTACCGTTATCTCCAAAATAACCGTCATCACCATAATAACCGTCGTAACTACTAAAATGTCCATCTGCACAATATATTGACAATCGATTAGATATTATTTCGATCGATTTACAGTCTAATTGATTCAATAACAAAAAATGTGTTAATCACATTTGAGCAGCTTGTATTTTCCAATAATGGCGGCCTCGTCGCCTATCCTATTATCAATATTTAACAATATATTATTTCGTTTAGTTTTTCGACCTCTTTTTATTGTATTCCATTGATCAACACCGTCAAAATTATTCAAATTATTCAAATTACCACCAGCAGCTGAATACAAGGTTGGCAACCAATCGGTTATATGAATCAATTCATCGGAAATCGTAGATGATTTTTTTATCAATGGTGAATAAATACAGGAGGCTGATCTAACAGCTCCTTCGAACGTAGTGAACTTCAACTGATGAAAGTTATATTAAATAAATAGATTAAGAAACCAAATAAGAAATAATACAAACAAATAGAAAGAAAATATCTTATTTGTATTACCCCACGTAGCGGATAATTCGAGCCATAATTTTGTAACATTCCAACGGTTTGTGCTCCATTATCACTGAAGTATAAAATTATAGAATTTTCTAATAAATGAGCTTTATTCAATGCGTCGACTACACGACCGACAGATTGATCCAAAGAATTGATCACACCTGCAACGTTCGAAATAACGAACACACATTTTATATTAACAAGTAAAAAAAAACCCTCTTGTTTTGTTTTTCTTTTTTATTGACTTACCAGCTAATTTTCTTCTATTAATATTCTTGATGTATCCAAAAGTTTCATTGACTTTCTTCATATCTTTAACTTGTAATTCTTCGCCATTGTCCAAACCACTCGCGTGCGTTGCTAAATGGGCTATTTGAAGATACAAGGGTTTAACCGGATCATGATTGAAAATAATTTTTTCCGCTTCATCGGTAATAAGATCGGTGAAGTATTCGTTTGAAAATTCCGGAGAAAGTTTATCCGGTGTGTCACGGTGCAAATCATTTCCCATGTGCGACTGGAAACGAGATCGCGGTTAGAAAATAATTACATCATCAATTAACTTTCATTATTCTTCTTCTTCTGTTTTTTCTTCTAATTCAACTAGTTAGCTGGTTCAACGGCCATTTATAACCAGATAAGGATTAAATAAAAATGAAAATCTCCTTTCTTGAAATTAAAACAAATCAACTTACGCGAGTTTTAATCTCCCCAACATTATGATTAAAATATTGAATGTAACCATTGTAGAAACCGAAATAAGTGTCAAAACCACGTCTGGTTGGTGTATACTGTGGCGAGTAATATCCTACGTGCCATTTTCCTAATAAATGAGTCGAATATCCTAAATCTTTAAGGTATTCTGGCAACAATTTGTAACGTTTAGGTATGGCACGTTTTTCACCAGCTTGTAAGGGAGTACCTTCCATACCTGAAAAAAAGTCAAAATCAATATCAAATTCGATATGAAATCAACAATATTATTGCTAGTTTATTTTAATAAACAAATTTTTACAATTGTAAGATACTTACCCTGTCTAATGGGATAATATCCGGTTAAGAAAGCTGTCCTTGAGGGGGTACACGTAGGTAATACGTAATGTTTGTGTAAAATTACGCCATTGTAAGCCAACGCGTCTATATTTGGTGTTGGAATTTGATCAGCACCATTAAAACTCACGTCGTTCCATCCCTTTTAAAACGAAAAGAGAATTCAACAATCAAATTAACACCATACACACGTCAATATTATATCATAAAATTGTGAAATAACAATGATTATTGTCTTACGAGATCATCGGCTATGATGACGACGATGTTAGGACGACTTCGAGAATACCCACTTGAAAAATTTTTAACATTTTCCGATCGGATCGATGAATAACAACAACTTATTAACAAAATTATAAACGAAACGTTCAAATTGTTCGATCTTCTTTTCATATTCTTTCTCTTCTTTTCTTTTCTTATTACGTTTATTTTTTTATTGATTTTCTTTATTTAATTAAATTAAAACTTTTCTCTTAGAAAATAACTCGTATCGTATTATGCAAGTAAATGAACTCGCACTTTCTTCCCGGCTTTATTTATAACGTTGTCGTAGAACTACTATCACTGACAAAAGCATTTGCAATCATAAATGCTTTATAACATATATAGTAAGATAAAACTGTCAAAATCGTACTTCTACCTACAAGGTTTTGCCACAATTTTTTATTTACGTTCGTATCAGGAAAATTCCTCAGACCCGAGCTTAAGAATTCTACGGCCCCAACTCAAGGCAACGAACAAACATATTTATCTATATTTGATTTCGTTCATTGAAAAATTTCGCTTTATTACTTTTGATTGGAAAATTTTGTATTTTTAAAATGATTTGTAAAAAAAGCGCAAAAAATCAATCCAAGAAAATATAACATTTTTGTGGAGCCTTAAAAATAAAAAATTTTAGAGATGGGGCCCCTGTTGTACTCCCCTAAATCTACGTTCCTATAATGGAATGAATTATTCATTATCTTCGATAATATTGATAATAGCGAATAGTTTGTTATCATTAAAGCCTTACATACGTCGAGCAGTATCAAAAATGAGCTAAGAAAAACATTTTTTAGTAGGGACAACAATAGAAATTAATAAAAATAAATAGTGCACATTGTTTATTGGCATTTAAACTTTATAAACAATTATATTTCACTTTATTTTTACAATAATTACTATATCAAAAATCCAATTAAATATCCAAAATCCGGCTCGACATACTATAGAGAAAACGATTTCGAATATTTAAAAAAAAAAAAATCGCATTAAAAATATTAAAAACTGTATGAGTTATCATGTCGATCGTGACGGAAAAAGTAATTTTGAGAAAGACGCGTTTTAAGTTTGAAGTGTCTTAAATAAAGGATAACTATCTGCGCGCACCAAACTCTCGTCGGGTAGTCGCATTTTTTACCATAACTTTGGATCTATGACGAATTTCGGCAATCGACTTTCACAGAAATCAGCCTAAAACTATAGAGAACAACAATCTGTTAAAAAGAATATCGATTTTTGGAAAATTCTGAACGTATGTAAGGTCTTAATGAAACTTATGGCTGTTTATTTATAATTATAAAGATATTAATAACAATACAGAGAAATATTTTTGTAATCATCGTAAAAATTGACTCAACTTAATTATTATTTTTTAAATATTATCTAATAATTATTTTTGTTTTATTTTTATTCTCAGTTTAAATTATATATGACTTAGGACACTAATTACTTACAATTAGTTAAATTTTGTTAACTTTTGTATAAGAGCGTGTAGATATTTCTGACTTAGTTATCAATAAAATATAAATGAAATCAATGTTAAACGAAGTCTCATGCAATATATCAACAATTTATATCATTTGTTTCTTTTGCTTAAATGATACGATTTAAATAAACTTACAATATATTTAACATGTGCATATGTGGCACTTCATAAATAATAATAAATAACATTTTTAAATAATTTATTATTTCAAGTGTTTCGCGTACGATCATGGTTTGAATTAAAAATAACATTGATTGTGGTTATCAATATTAGCTTTAACAATGCTTTTTGTTTGCGATAAAATAATCTTTAGAAAGAAAAGAAATATAAACTAGGTCAAAATGGTTTGTAAGATGATTCCGTAGTAAATCTTTAACGCGATCGTATTTGTAATACTATTTTAATTTAACAACGATCGTTTAATCATTGCAGTATCGTGTTAATTTAATCAAATATACATCAGACAATCGTCATAATAATCGCTCGATATAATCTCCACGGAAATTAATAGTGGTATCGCGAAAATACCCGATATTATCTGTCCATTAATTTTTTTCTCTCTTTCAAACTTTAATCATAAATTTATAATTATGTGATACGTATTTACGAAAATTAATAAAAAATTATTGAATGATTTAACAACACTTCGATTAATCGTAATAATTTTTTTTTTTCTTTATACGCAAATACAATGTTTCTATTTATACAAATTGAAAAATTATCTCAGCTTGGACATGCAAATAATTATATTTTCAACTTTTATTAAAAAAAAATATATTTAAATTTAGACCATAAAGCAAAATTAATATCTAATTTTCATAAATAATAAGTAAACAACAATTCGAAAAGATTATTCTTTTTTCTTTTCTCTATATTTTCTTCTTTTTTTTTTTTTTTTTTTTTAAAGTAATTCATCTTTATGCTTCTTAATAGAGCACGTTAGTTAAAAGCATATTTGTTATGAGAAAAATAAAGTATAAGAAATTGATCGTAAACGTAGACGCAGACTGCGAGTTACTAGGAACCAACCAAGGTTCCCAAGTGTCGTTTGTTCTCCTTGGATCGGCTCTCCAATCGATTGGCATTCTGTATTGATTTATCGAAAAACGTCCATATTTTTCTAATATATCGTCCAATTCTTTAACGATCTTAAAATAAATAAATAAATTTGAAAAAAAATGTTTCAACGTAGAAAAGAATCCAATTAATATATGATAATATTAGGGTGAACCAAAAGTTCTTGCATTTATTATTGTGTTATAAATTGCAATTATAAACTGCATAACGGATTGTTGTATTTCTTTTCTGTAAAATTTACTTTGAAAATATTCATTTAAAAACGTAATTTTTGATTCATCCTAATAGAAAGAATATCGTATTAATGTACCCTTGGATATTGATTTGCAATGTTTCTCGTTTCGCAAGGATCATTTTCCAAATCGTAGAGACACTGTGTAGCGTTGCAAGCCGTTAAAGAAGTTTTAAATTGATAACTGAAATTCGATTGACAGGTAACCGTAGCTTCTTGACGTAAATGTACTATAGTGCTAGGTTGAGTAACCGGTCCTCCAAGATAATAAGTAATACTATCAGAAACAGAACTTTTCATTATTGAATCGGCATAGGATGGAAGTTCAGCCGATTGATCGTATTTTTCTGGATTACCGTAATATACATCGTAAATACTATATTCAGGTGGTCCTAAGAATAAATTATTATTGTTTATCCATAATTAATATCTTATGTAAAAAAATATATATATAATATAATAATAAAAATATATATATATCATATTATATAATAATAATTTTTATATAAAATATTATAATATGAAGATAATTACCTCGAAGTAATTTGAAACGTTTGTATATCGCACCCTCTATCTTTCTACCATAATCGATATTTAACAAAAGACTTTCCCTTTCTTTACCCGTTTCCAAGCTAAGTGCATTCCATTGATCTATTCCATCGATTTCACCTAAATCTTTTAGATCACCACCTGCCACTGAATATAACGTTGGTAACCAATCAGTTATGTGTACCAATTGATTCGACACTCGTGCAGATTTTTGCAATCTGGGAGACCAAAGTACAGCCACACCTCTCACGCCACCCTCGTAAAGAGTATTTTTCGTCTACCCCGTATAAACACATATGAATAAAAAAATAATATTTTATAATTATTAAATAGATTAATATTCTTACCCCTCTTAATGGATAATTCGAACCCCAATTTCTGAGCCTTCCAACGGAGGGTGCTCCGTTATCGGTTATAAACAATATCAAGGATTCGCTTAACATTCCTTTCTCACCCAATGCATGAACAACGTTACCTACTGATTCGTCCAATTCAACCACCATCCCTAGACACATTAGGAAAATATCATAATAAAATACATAACCGTAATATAAACCAAAATTTTTTAAATTATTCCTCGTGACAAATGATTTTTGGACACCCAATGACCGGAAATTAATTTAATACCAGTTTGACATTGCTACGAGTATACTATGTTTGTAAGTTTACGATAGTAAAAGAAAAAAGATAGTACAGAGTCATTAATCAGGGTCGTATAAATATTTGCTAGGATTAAGGGGCACGTTCAAATGGAAAAGTTTAAAAATATACTACTGTATACTACAGTAAAACCTTTAGTATATATCCGAATAATTAGGGAAACTGTTCGGATACCGGAGGTTTCAATTTGAATATTCAACTATGTATCTTGATTTTGTTTTATGTGTACTTGCGTATTTTCGCCGATTAGGGTCTCTGATATGCTTGAATTCTCTATCTTTGTAATAATCTTGCGGATTTTCCAAAGGTGCGTGTACAGCGAGATGCGATAATTGAAGATAAAGGGGCCGTGAAATTTCGTGATGTTCAATTATCCTGATAGCTTCTTGAGTAAAAAGATTCGTAGCGTATTTATCGGAAATTCCGTATGCTGGATCATCCCCTCGATGCATATCGTATCCGGTCATATTCTAATAATATATCAAATTATTATTATTATTATTATTATTATTATTATTATTATTATTTCTAATGGAATCATTACTATGATATATAAAATACTGATGGAATTCTTTTATTTACCTGATACGAATATCTGTAACCGTAATACGAGACATGACTATTATAAAATCCAAGAAACGAATCGAAACCTCTGTGCAAAGGTGTATGCTGTGCGGTATGATAACCAATATGCCATTTGCCAATTAATTTAGTCGTATATCCCAAGGATCTCAAACGTTCGGGTAAAATTTTAATATCCAATGGTAAACCCCGTGGTTCGCCACCCCTAATACCGTCTCCTTGCATTCCTAAGTTTTATCATGAATTTCTATATATTTTTAACAAATAAATCAATCAATCTGAACGGATGATAGTGATCAAATAAATTGAAGAAGAAAAATAAAACATTTCTTTACGATGACGACAATAATGAATAACGACCAAACGATGCAGATAAAAAAAACTTTCCCCATTCCTTACCCATACGAATTGGATAGAGTCCTGTAAAAAATGCTATTCTTGAGGGAGTACTCGAAGGTAATACGTAATGTTTGTTTAAAATAATCCCATTGTATCCAAGTGCATCAATATTAGGGGTTGGTATTTGATTAGAACCGTGAAATCCAACATCGTTCCAACCCTATGAATTATTAAAAATTATAACAATGTATATTAAAAAAAAAAAGAAACAAATTTGGATAAGGGATGCTTAAATACGTCGAAAACTAAAATATTATACTTCCTAGTTGAGATATGTATTTATTCTAATTTTAAGCAATTGATCTTATCATTTCAAATTAGGACGAAATTTGACTAATGTGTCACACATTTACACCTACGTCCTCTTATCTAATTGCTCTTTACATATTTTTGTTTTCTCTTTTCTTCCTTATTATTGGAAATATTTCAAATATAAATCCTCACATTTATGTAATTTAATACAATTAAAATTATCTTTAAAATTGATTAAAAAGAAAATATCATTGCCGGTGATATACAAAACTCTTATTTCAAATAGTTCACTTGATTTAATTAATGCGGTTAAATAAATTTTTATTTTCACTGTTCACGAAATAATAAAAATATGACATTTTTATTTTCATCGTAAAACAAAATCATAAATATATGACATTTTTATTTTTTGCTATTGTTCAAGCAATTATCGTTTATTTATATTAAATAAAATATTTTTATTTTCTTACCAAATCGTCGGCCATGAAAATGATAATATGGGGAGCGGTCTTGTAAACACCAGCTGTACATTTCGTAAAAAATTTGATGATCAGTATAATTATAAACACCTGTCGAAACTTATTCAGCAACATTATTTACGTTGAAATTATATGATAAGAGAAAATTAGAATACATAATATCGAAGATAACGAGTCGATTTATAATTGTTTCTCACTAAATAAAGAAAATCCTCAAAGTAGAATATTTTACGCACGATATTTAACAAGATGCTCTTACAATTTATAAAAGAACAGAGATGAGAGATAAACAGGTTTATATAGTCCACCCACGAAAGGAAACATTATGAATGAACCGTACGAAGGGGAAAGGAAAGTTTAACAATGATTCAAGCAATAAAGAAGAAGATACGTGTTTCAACTAGGCTACTTCTCATCTTTCTTCTGATCTACTACGCTTATTCAATTTTCTAATGACGTAAGATATATATGCATCTATTTTAATTATTTTTTTTTGTCCTGTTTCTTTTTTTTTTTTTTTATCAATAAATAGAAAAATGTAACGAGTAGATAAAACATATTTCTCTCTCTATCCTTTTTCTTTCACATAATTGTAATAAATATTTTCGTTTATCTATTTAATTCGAGCCCATAAGAATTAACGTGGCTCTTATATTTGATTATATTGCCTAATTCGGTATCGACACCACCTATTAACTTAATTAACGATTTAATTCAAGGTCTTTTAACAAGATGACTAGTGATGAAACATTATCAAGAATCATCAGCGTTTATTTTAATTTTTCGAGAAGAATCGAGCGAAAAATTATTTCCAGGATCATAAACCAAAATATATTAAATATATGCTATCTCATTAAAATCTTATTGTTTATATAGATTTTTATAAAACTAACAATTTTTCAAGGTAATCAAAGATAACTTGTTTTTATGAAAACAACAATTTTTTTTAGTACAACGTACATAAAATATATATATTTTATTAAAATTACAGGATAATGTTCCTAATTTAATTATAATTACATTTTGGTCTTAATATTTATTACAATGTGTTATTATAATGTATAAATGAATAATATATTTTTTTAAATGTTGTTAAATCAACATACTAAATTGTATAAAATTAAGTAAACTGGATAACAGTTTTATCTATTAGGCTATTCTATTGATTTTTAATGGTAAACGTGCAACGAAATAATTTTGTAAAATGTGGATGTTATTAAAAAAATCAAATAAATATTTGTTAAATAATAATATAAAGTATAAATAAAAATGGTTGAAGATGCGATTCGGATAGGGGTACGTTTTAGACCACTCAACAAAAGTGAAATAGAAAAGGAACGTGAAGAATATTTGAACACAATGCCTGGATAACCATAAATAATTATTAAAAATACAGACAGAAAATCCACATTTAATTATGCTTTTACCCCGGATATTAACAAAAAAAACTTTTATAACACAGCTATCACAAAGATATAATTAATATAATAACGTAAAAGGATTGGACCTATTAGGCCTGAAAATTGATTGTAAACATGAAAATAAAACACAGCGCATAGACTGTGCTTAAAAACTAAATAAATTATACCAATGCACATTACAAATATTTAGTTATTACGGAATAATCTTGTACTCTATCTAAAGTCTTTAAATTATCCCACCACAGTTGTAATTTATGCTGAAGCATAAGACGGAACCATGGTGTTAACGGTGCTTTTATCGTTCGTGAAAAATCATTGATCATTGATCTTGATACCCATTTAACTTCACTCACTTCATCGGGATTAGGATCAAGAGTTATATAATCTTTTTGTAGAAATAATACGTAATCTATTTCATGTTCGCCCCAAACTCCATCTCCCAAAGAAAAGTAATGAATTCTTGATAAATAAAAGAAATCAGAAAGATTAATCTCCGAGATTGGAATACCCAACTCATAATTGAGTCTTCTTTGTGCTGCCCTACGTATACCAATTGCATCATCTTCTAAAGTTTCTCCAGATATTTCCGCTAAAGGATGACTGCAGCAAGAATTTGTATAACAGTCCGGAAACGTTATCTAAAATAGTACAATAAGTTAATAATTAAAGTTAATGAATACAAAATATATCTCAATTTATTTGACTAACAATCATCACCTTTCTTTCAAAGATAAAATTGGTAATAAAAAGTTATACCTTCCATGGAGAACGTCTTTGCAATAACAAATCGCCATCCCGATTAAATAAGAAAACACTAAATGCTCTATGAAGTGGTAAAGTACCATCATTTGTAACTCTATGACAATCTTTTTTAGATGCTTCGCCAATAGGTCTGTCAAATTCATCGACAAGTATACAACGCTCTTCCAAAGCAGCTTTTTGCAGCGGAGCTATTTGTGCCACTTTATAACCTCTAACATTAGTTGCTACTTTATTTATTATAGAAAACATACTTCTACTTATTTTATCCATTTTCTATTGTATTTATATTTTCACAGTTCTTACTGTCTTGAAAGTCTATCTAATACTAAAGCATATGATGTAACCAACAATAAAGAAAAAAGATCAAAATAAAAATAGAACTTATTTAAATTTATTATCATATATATTATCATAAAATATATTTTTTATGACTTCAACAATTTTTTTATTTTACGTTCACTTAACACACACAAACAGCACAACATATTATTACACGAATAAAAATCGTTTTAAAGGTTGGAAAATTTATACAGCAAAATTTTCGCAACTTTCTTTTCATGGAATGCGGTCAAATTATTAGCATTGTCTTCGTTTAGTTTCAACAAATCACTTTTAAAATTGTTATGTATATATGTTACATACATTGACACAACTTTTGATATATTTCTAACCATTAAACGATAATAATCAAGTAAACGTTGATAAACGAATAAAAACAGGAAAAATACAAAAATTAATATAAATTATTTCAAATATTTTGATTTTCGTAATACTTATAATTATATGAATTAATGAAATTGAAATTAATTACGTGATATATCTTTTCTTGTGATAATAAAACACTATAACTCAAATATGTTTTCCTTTTACGCGTGTCGAAAATACGTTGACATTTAACATTTCGAATATAGATAAATTTATGTTAATTTCGTAGAAATAACATATTTTTCATGATACAAATACAAATGCGAAATTTAATCTAAAAATATGTTGAAATTTTTAAAGTAAAATTATTCTGCACAAATCGACAAATAATTTTTGGACAAATATTCCATAAATGTTAATGATTTTCTTTAATTAATGAAATTGTAACTTATATTTGTATTGTTTAACATTATTTTGTTAACATTATTGTTTAATGTTATTAAATAATGTTTTTTTTTTTCTTATTCTTTCTTTAAAAATCTTTAAAATTATTAATTATTATAATTTAAGTTAGATTTCTCTCCGTTTAGAAATGCGTTAGAAATATCGTGCCATTAGAAACGCACGTGCATACGTATTCTCAATGTTTAAATGGTACGAGTAAGTTTCACCATATTTTCACACACAAAAAAGGGTATAAATATATTCTCCTTATAACAAAGTAATTTTTAATTTTATATTAATATTTATCAGAAAGATTCTTAACTGTGACTAGAGTGTACTATCAATATAGTACATAACCTAACAAATAAGGAACACGAAGACTGATGAACAAATTGTTCAAGTTTTAAGTTTGAATAACTTAATATAAAAATAATAACAGAAAATTTGTGTAATAATATAAAAAAGAGAAATAAAATGTCAGACGAAAAATCTACAACGCAAGAATTTAAATTAGACGCCGATTGTGAGTTACGTTTTGAAGTGGAAAACAAAAATGAGAAAGTTACGTTGGAGGTAAAATTTTTTCAATAAATATTCTTATTTTTATATTTTTCTTTTATGTTACTATTGGTTGATAATTTGATTAGAAATAATAATACATTTTTTATATTATTATTATTCTTTTTTTTTTCTGCGAACACTTACTGCAAAAACAATTAACTATTATTACAATTGTTTCATGTCACCATCAAGCTAAAAAATGGATTGGCTGAAGTATTTGGAACGGAATTGGTGAAAGGTAAAAAATATGAATTCAGCGCGGGTGCTAAAGTTGCTGTCTTTACGTGGCAAGGGTGTACCGTCGAACTTGTTGGAAAAACAGATGTTAGTTACGTAGCAAAAGAAACACCAATGGGATTGTATTTAAATTGCCATGCTGCTATGGAAAGATTGCGAGAGACAGCAGAAAATGAAGATAAAAGAGGACCTATAACTATGGTTGTAGGACCTTGTGACGTAGGAAAGTCAACTCTTTGTAAGATTTTATTAAACTATGCAGTTAGAATGGGAAGAAGGCCAATCTTCGTTGACCTGGATGTTGGACAAGGCGATATAGCAATACCTGGTACAGTTGGTGCATTATTAGTAGAGAGACCATCCAATATAGTAGAAGATTTCAGTCAACAAGCACCACTTGTTTTCCATTTTGGACATAAAACCCCATCGGATAACGTTGCTCTGTACAATCTTCTTGTAACTCGTTTAGCTGAAGTTTGTACCGACCGACTTCAGGCTAATAAGAAAGCTCGAGTTTCAGGAATAGTAATAAATACTTGTGGTTGGGTCAAAGGAGATGGATACAAATTACTGACACATGCTGCGCAAGCATTCGAAGTTGATGCTATTTTAGTATTAGACCAAGAAAGACTTTACAACGAACTTGTTAGAGATATACCACCTTTTGTTAAAGTCGTCTTCCTACCAAAAAGTGGTGGAGTTGTTGAAAGAAGTCAAGCACAAAGAACAGAAACTAGAGATCAAGGAGTACGTGCTTATTTTTATGGATCAAAAACACCTTTGTATCCACATAGCTTCGAAGTCAAATGGAGCGAAGCAAGATTGTATAAAGTAGGAGCACCCGTTTTACCTGCATCTTGTATGCCACTAGGAATGAAAGCAGAAGATAATTTAACTAAATTAGTTGCTGTTACGCCTGGTCCTAATTTACTACATCATTTACTATCTGTATCATTTGCAGACTCTCCTGAAGATGATGTTGTACAAACTAACGTTGCTGGATTTGTTTGTGTGTAAGTTAAAATAGATATATACATTTATATATTTAATCGAATATTATCAACCTATTTAAATAGTATACTCAATTTTATTTTTTTAATTACAGTACTAATGTGGATGTAGACAGACAAACGTTTACAGTACTCAGTCCTCAACCAAGGCCATTACCAAATACTGTTCTGTTATTTTCGGAAATTCAATTTATGGATAGCCATTAAGTTTTATTATTTCTATTAAATAATAGTACAAGCAGCTTTAAGTAAATTGACAATATGATAAATTGAAAGTATTTATTAGGATTAATTTTATCGCGCTTTTTTTATTTTTGTATGTTATAGATAACATCATTTAGCCCCTATTACTGTTATCGTGAAAAACAATTTATTTTTATAAAATGTACTTTGAAGAATAACTTGATTGTAAAATGTATATATATGTACGTATGCTACGGTCAATATAGTAATACGGGCATTGTATATATTAGCCGGGAAATCTATAGAATGTCTGACATTTTTACATTGATTACCTGTATATACGAAAAAAAGGATGAAAAAAACGTTATTTATAAAAAATTGATACAAATATATACGATAAGTAACCCTTGTCAGCGCGAACGTATTAAATGTATATAATAGCTATTTTATATTTTCATTAATTGATTGATCCATGATGTAATACAATTAAATAAAATAGCCTTCATTATCGTATTACGTTTTCATAATTGTTTTTTAAATTTCCCGCCAATAAAATTTCTAGTAAAAATTCAGTCTCCATTAATAAGTTCTTTATTTTAAGTTGAAAAACACGAGAATTTAACTTGGATTAAAATAAATAATTAATAAATAAATGGAGAATATTCAAGAATTAAATGATTTAGATGTTTTTTGTACCGAGCAACAATTACGAGAAAAAATATATGAATTACAAGAAAAATCGGTTGGTATAGTCTATTCCATACAAAAATTTTGGTACCAAATTTTAAAAATTTATAAAATTTGATAAATAAGTATTTTTAAAATTAATTATGTAGAATTTCAAGAAAATATTTGTATATTTTTGTTTCTTTGTTTAACGAACAGGATACGTTAGAACACACGCAAAGAGAATTATTAGAAACTCGACATACTTTGTATAGTTCTAAAACAACACTGGAAAACGAAAGTCAAACAAACAATGAATTAAAAATGCAATTATCAGCAGCTATAAATATGATCAATCGTTTAGAGGCTGAAAAAATGCGAACTTACATGGAACACGTTCAATTAAAAGTTAATTACGATACCATGATCAACGAACGCAATGCTTTGATTGAACAGACTAAAATTACGAAATTAGAAATTATAGAAGCTAATATCAAACTGCAAAGCGCAGAGGACAAAATATCATCTTTGGAAATGTTAAATAAAAATCTGGAAGAGTCTCTAACTATGTTAAAAAATAATACTTTGAAAATGGTAGCGACTGCTGAAAAGTAAATAACAAATAAAAATTGATCTTTAATTATTATTTGTAAAAATTTAAGACGTGTGAAGCCAAATTTATAAAAATGATTGCAGCGAGATTGCTAAACTCAAAAAGGAACATCAACATTTGCAACAGTCATGTCAAATGACAATAGATCTTAATAATCGTTTACAAATATTTGGATTATGTGCGCATAGTATACATCAAAGAGACAAAATTGAGATACAACGATTGCAATGTAAGTTAAATTCTATGTCCAGCGATATCTTAAATATTCCGGATTCCAACACCACATTGCATCCAGAGATACAAAAATTGTGCGAAAAGGTAATATGCATTTACAAATAATATAATACGTATATCAAATCTTATAGTATGTGCTTGTGAATGCATATGCATGACACGTGAACATAGTAGAATATATAAACATAATATACAATTAGTATCAACTATAAATATATTATAAAATGTATTCTTACTTGTCAGTTACAGGCATTGATTCAAGAATTAAAATAATTCATGTAATAAATATAGTTTTGGTAGGAGACGAAGGAGGATAAGTTAATTTAATAAATGCTCTTGGATGTATATAGGATTAATATAAAATGTATTATATAATAATTGTCTGTATATTTCAGTATATGCCAAACAAGTTAAGTGATTAAAATGCAAATTTTAAAAGATGCAAGACTATGAGACAACAAGCAAATAAAGATATTGCCTGTAGATCCACCACATACACACGAATCCACTACTATATGCAATACAAAATATATCTAGAAAATAAGCATTTTTTTCTTACATGTGTTCTGATTTTTTCGGGAACCAATGAAAATAAGTTCCATGGCTAATAATTATAACGCTTTGAATTGTCTATTGAAATTTTTTCTTTTACTTTTTTTCATCAGTCATCATATGATGCAGTTACTATTTTAGTTTATTATTATTAGTAATTAATTAATTATTTAATTAATTATATAATATAATATCATATAATAATTAATTAATTAATTGATGAGCTAATAATTATAACATGCTTGTGTGATGTATTCTTATTAATTCCGTGAAAAAGCTAATCGCTTATTAACAATATATAAAAAATGATTGTGATTTTTATACCGGTTAAACTTTACTTTATTAATCATTATATGTGATTTTGCACAGTGATCTTTCCTTCTAAATATATAGATATATATTTTTTGTTTTTGTTTTTCCTTTTTTTTTCTCTTTTTTTGTTTTGTTTTATTTAAATAACAGGAACAGAACATTATTTGACGTAATAAAAGAGAATGCATTTTTAGTGCGTCTTATAAAAAAATGATATTTCCCCTAATATTAAAGCGAAGTAATTTTATACTTGTATTTCACATTTAGTATTGGTTCTTTAATATTGATTTCATAGTATTCCCTTCTTTACATAACAACACCAGAGGAGAAACAATCACAGAAGCGCAATGAAAGAATGAGCTTTTTTTTTCTTTTTTAAATAAGATGAAACTTGTTACTTTGCATGCCAACGTCTTCGCTGTAAATATCACAATTTTCACAACAATATCGTTATTTCACAAAAAGATTACTTATCGATAAGATTTTATAATGAAAGATGATATAAAACTGCAGTTTAAAAAATATTTCCATTTCTCAAATACATATTACATGTCTTTCTATTTTTCTTTATTAAAAAATAAAAACAAAAAGAAGAACAAAAAAATATATATATATATATGTAATTATAATAACGACACAGAAAAGAACCAACTTAAATAGTTTAGACAATTTCTCCTCTAATGATTTTTTTCTCAGTAAGAAATTATTTAAAGTTAATGATTATAAAAACACAGTCAATGTCCATTGTCAAGGTGTAAAGTCACAGAGCCCAATTAATGGACCATATGAAGCCTCGTAGAACGTTAAATTTGTTCGACGAAATGTATGTAAGTAATTAATAATAATAGACAAGTTGGCCTCATTCAAAGGTCGGAAATATTTAAGGGGTCAGAGTATAGAACAGCGAGCTAACCAACTTGGCGGTTTCCTTTGTGGTTCTGATGCTTTCAACTGGTGACCACCACCTTTGGGTGGATTTGATGCTTCCTAGATAAAAATAAGATGAATGTGTTAATAAGATATTAACCGATTAATGTATTGTAAATACGTTAATGTTTTTTAATTTAAGAAAACACGTTAAAGCGTTAGTTATTGTTAATAGATTTGGTTAAACTATTATTGAGGTCTAACGAATGAAAAAGAATAAAAATTATGCAAATATGCAAGATTAATTAAATATTAGGTGTAGTTAAGCAGAATGCAAATATTAATAATGTTATGTTATTACAATAATGAAACATAGATAGCAACTAGAAAAAATTAATTATATTAATACACGCGTAGCATTAAGAATAGATGCAAATATTATAGATAATCTTGCACATTAAGTAATAATGGATATGTAACATGGTTTAACGGTGTTACATAAGAAAAGAAAAAATATACATTCAAGTAAGAACAGTGTCGAAAGAAACAGTTACCTTCTGCCAAGATAGACCCGCACCAAACACAGAGAAACAGACATAGGAAACAAAGAAAATGAAGTTATTCGATATAAAAAATTACAGGCGATTGAGTATACCTATAGCACTTTTGACATTGCTTAGTATAAAGTATGTGTTAGAAATATTAATTATTAAAGAAGTACATTTATATATAACTTATAACGTATAATAAATATATGTTTTTTAAATCAAATTGATCATTTATACATTATAAGCTATATTTAAAAATTCTATAATATTACATATTATAAAAATGATGCAAGCTGTATATTACATGATTTCTCAAGAATGATATTTTTATAATTATTTGTAGATGTACAAATTTTTAAATATAGCTGGATATATTTAAGTATGGCTCAGACAACTTGTATATGCAATTCTTATACGTTAAATAATTAACAAATATTACTAATACTTACCAATTTCTTTTCCATTTTAGCTTTAATATCGCGCGCCAAAGTATAAAATGCTTCTTCAACGTTGATACTGGATTTCGCAGAGGTTTCCATAAATTTAATACCGTATTCAACTGCAAGTTGTTCGCCTCGTTCCTTAGATACTTGTCTCTTGTCTGTAAGTTCACACTTATTGCCTAATAACATCTTCTCTACCTCAGCGGATGCATTTTCTTCTATATTACGAATCCAATTCTTAATATTTTCAAAGCTTTTTTCATTTGTAACATCATACACTAACATTATTCCCATAGCACCACGATAATATGCCGTTGTTATTGTACGAAACCTCTCTTGTCCAGCGGTATCCCTTTTTTGTATATAAAAACAAAATAATTATTAATAAAATGTTTAACAATAATAAAAAATATTTTTCAAACGAATTAGTAAGAATTCTTACCATATTTGCAATTTAATTTTCTTGCCGTCTAACTCAATTGTACGAATTTTAAAATCAATTCCTGAAATATAAAAATGCAACAATTTAATTTACACAAACTGGTACAAACTATTCTCGTATTATCACCAAATATGGATTAGTATTAAAATCAAATGAGAACAAAAAGTGTATCAATGGTATATTGATAGGATTAATATAATGTATTTTTAATAAATATTTCTTGTTAAAAACTTATTATTATAAGATAATATGCTACTCGACAATTATATCATATGCAACCTGTTTTATGTTATTAAATTAAAATGATATAAAACACAACATATATTTATTTAAAATGATAATGTTAGTAATGTGCAAAAAAAGGATGTAGAATGACGCATAGAAATTTAATAAGTATACCTAAACAAGAGTTTCTTTGTCTGTAGACTAAATAACATTTGTCTAATGATCAGACGTATTTATAGATCTATGTGTCGTATTACGCATGTGGCAAGAAAAATAGTGAGAAAGAAAAATGCTATGAATAATAATAACGATGATTATTAATAATAGGAGAGTAATACATACCAATAGTAGAGATGAAGGTCGTATTGAAAGCATCTTCGGAAAATCTGAATAATACACAGGTTTTGCCGACGCCCGAATCTCCGATAAGTAGTAATTTAAATAAATAATCATAGGTCTTTGCCATTTTTCACTAACAATCGACCTTTATCACGAGTTGTTTAAATATTATTATTCAACCACCACTACACTATCAAATACCTTGAAGCCCGGATGTTTCGTATTCGCGGTCCGTTGTGATGGTGAAAGACAGCTGGCTCCGGAATCTTGACTTCAAAATATTTTCGGATTTATTATGGACTTATTCGATCGTTAGTCATTTGACGAAAACTAATCACTTTAATTGTATTACTCAATTATTAACAAATAATTCTCGTAATACTTTATTTATTTATTTTTTAACTCGCGATAATATTATTCATTAAAATTAACAAAGCAAATTTATCGTGTATAACATCTGTCATAAAAAGCGATGACAGCCATTCGACACCGCGATTTTTCTCCCGTGTTGTGGCTATCTTGCGGCTAGTTTAATTAACTATCGATTCTTACTAATAATCATTCTCGATTATCGATTATTCCTTACATCGAGATATATCGATCTGTATAAATGTATCAACTAATCAAAGTGCTTGTCCAAAATTTATATAAGAAATTTCCAATTTTTTTACACTAGCATTAATGACGTCATTTTTTCTATTGCATCAAAGATAATAATAACTAAAATGTTTTTATTTCAAATATTTATGCAATTAATGCAGAATCAAATATCTCGGCGGCCATGATGGTTAATCGAAAACTTGTGGACTACTAAAGTCAATTATTAAACGCACGTCTATTTTTTAATTTAATATGTTTAAAGTTCAATTATATATATAATAACGTCAATATAATATTACTTTTTTGAATGAAAATATTAATTTGATATTACTTATTACTTATTAATAATCCATGATAATTTTTATAAACATTTTTTTAATTCATCGAAACGCCTAAATGTATGTAACGTTGTATATAATACTTTTAAATACAGAAATATGCATACATTTACTGGTTCTTTATATTATAAAATATAAATGACATAAAAAATAACTAAATTAAAATTACAAGGAGTTATTTATTAAAAGCGTACGTAAGTTTATATTTTAAAATTACATCTTTTTACTTTTTTTTTTTAATTTACTAAGATCTCTAAAGATTTCTTTCTTACTTTCCTTTTGTCTCTTTAATTTTCTAGCTTCTTCTACTCTAACTCGTGCTTTGAGAGCTTTTATCCTAATTGTCGTAGCTTTTTTAAGTTTCTGTTGCTTATCCGCGTATGCCGTTCTAATCATTTTCATAAGACGCGCAACATTTTCTTCTTTAGCATCTCGCACCACTGCAACTCTATTTTCTGCAAATTTAGTCTTACGCGTGTGAGGATCAGGTCCAAATTTAGGTTTGTCTTTGTAGGGAAGTTCTTTTTGTAAATTACGTGGTATAACCAAGGGTTTAAATACTTTCACTTTTCTTTCAATAGGAGTGTAAAGTGAATCAGTATTAACAGTTGCATGAATATTCCTTTCTCGTTTTAATTGACCAGTAGTTTTCATACCACGCCATTGATTCTTTTCCGCGGGAGGTAACAAAAGCGACGTTACAGGATTATAGAATTTAGGTACATCGATTTTGTACCAAGTACGACAGAAAACTATATCACTCAATAATATTTTATCTTCAAACGTAGCACGAAAACAACCTGGCGGTTTAGAAACTGCTTTCTTTATTTGACCACGAATACCAGAAACTGTTCTAATCTTGGCACCCTCAAATTTAGCTACTTCTAAAGTGCTGTTAAACATATCCTTGATAAATGCAGTTTTTTTGTAAATTTTCATTGGTACACCAGTGAGTTTTAATTTTTTCATTATTTGAGTACTCTTATCCATTTCTACAATGGATCCAGTAGCTACTATTCTAAAACCGGGTTCTCTTGTAGCAATATTTTGAACAGCAAGAACTCCAGTACCTTGTGGTGTTATAGGTCCCCAAAAATGTGCCATACAAGCGATATGTTCAGGAGTATATTTTAACATTCTACTACGAAGATTATCTTCTAATTTAGCATAAATTGGTAACGTTTGGAATCTTCTCCAACCTACAGAAAGTATTATAGGATCTTTGCTTTTCAATATTCTCGGATACCATCTGTGTTTCTTAATTCGTGTTTGCACATAACCGATATTCTCTTCTCCGTGCAATAATCCTCCAATAATGAGCGGATATGATGGATCTAAGTTTATAACCATTTCACAAGGAACACCTTGTATTTCTACACGTACATACATTCCTGGACGATAACCTTCTAACTGAACTCTAACATCGTCATCTATCCCTTCGAATTCTGACTTGTTTATTTCTGCTTGTTTGTCAACTTCTTGTCTCAATTCATCATAATATGTCTTTGTTTCTCCATTATCATACTCAGCATTGAATTGTTCTTTGAGTTTCCTTTTTTTCTCAAGAAGCTGTTTCTTTTCGTCTAATTCATTTTCTTTTGATGGTTGCGAATCATCTGCCTTATGTTTCTCTCCAGTTTCTAAATCTTCAAAATCTCCATATATTTCATTGTCATCCATATCATCTAATTTTAAAAGTTCCTCCGCATCTTCCGATTCTTTCCATTTGCCAGTAACAAAACAATTAACTAACAATACTTTATTGTCCTCTTCCAACCAATCACGAGAAGGTTCTTTGGAAAAGAAAATATTTTCTTCCAAATTTTGTAATTCACGTTCTTGTAATTTTTGTTTTTGTTTTTCTTGTACAATTTTAAATATTCCGCCTACAGATTTACTATCATTTTCTTCTTCTTCTTGTTCATCTTCTTTATTATTACTTTGTATACCTTTGTCAAATACTCCATAAACAATTTTCATTAAACTTTTATTATTTTCTTGACGATTTCTAAATGCTTCTTTGGCTTTATCGATTAAATTAGACTTCCATTTAAATTCATCTGCAACTTCTTCCTCGCTTTCATTACCATCGTTATCTTCTTTCATTGACTCTTCTTGAAAATCATTGTTATCGTTATCAGAATGATCCATTTCTAAATCTCCACGAGAATCATCGTCACTAAGCTCGTCAAAACTTTCATTCTCGCTTTCATTTTTACTTATATCTACGTCCTTTTTACTCGAACTTTTGTCGAAAAGACTGAGAACTTCTGTAATTTTATTCTTTACTCGAATATCAGATTCTTTACTTAAAGAATGGTAGATTTCTACTTCAGTTTTATTTTTTACTTCCTCATTATTATCATCTTGAAAATCATCTACATCTTTATCTTTGTTATTAATATTAGAAAAATTAATGGTTTTCTTTTTCTTTGTGGAGGATAAAAGTAAATCCTGATTTTTTCTTTTGATACCTTTTTTAATTGTATTCTCTTCTGCATTGTCTTCATCGTCTTCATCATCTTCATCATTTTCATCATCATTTAATTCTTCTTTATCATCATCATCTTGTTCTTCGCTATAATCGGAATCCACATCCATAGATGCTGCAGTTTCATTTGAATCAGAAAAAATAACTTTCCTTCTTATTCTTCCATCCTCCTCTACATTCTCCCCAATATAATGAGATTGAAAATCTTCATTAACATCCTGAGATTTAATAGGTGCAGTATCACTAAATAATTGTAGTTCACTGTGTTGTAACTTTTGATCTAAAGTTTCTTGAGTCTCCATTAATGCTCCAGTTAAACCAGTATCCTCATTTTTATGCGAATGACTACCCGCTAATTCAAAATAAACTGCATCTTTATCATAAACAATCCCACCAATACCAGAAAATGGTGCATATATTAATCTTTCCTTTTCTACTAATGCACGTTTTTTTAATTGTTCGGGAAGAGGACATGGATCAGATAAAAAGCTTACATCTTTAATTCTAAGATCACCGCATCCAGGAATATGAATGGAAGATTCTTTAATTAAAGGTACTCCTCTAACATAGCTGTAAAAAAATATACAAACATTTTTATACAATCTTATGACATGTCAGGCATATATTAAATAATAAAATATAAAACTATGTACATACCCATATAAACATATCGTCCTATCAACTTTAGGATTTTTTCTAATCAATTCAGGCAACGTTAAATCTTCTATTCTATCAGCAAGAATATAAGGATGCGAAGTACGCCACGTCAATGGTCTAAATTTCATCACTGATATAAATCTAGCCAAATTTTTAATTTCAGTCCGAAGATATTCCTCATGAATTAATCCAGAAAGATAAAATAATTTAGCACCTGAGTATACTTCGGTCCAAAATCTATGTTTTAATATTTTCTTCGTTTTTCTCAATTGTTTAGCGTTTTTAAATAAATCTAAATGAGTTAATACGCCCATGACTCTAGGCATACCATGAACTTGACAAATATTAAGAAACTCAAAGACCTCCATTTCAAAACCAAAAGATGCATCAACTAAGAGTAAAACCAAATCGGCTACTTTTGCTATATCAATCATACAACTTATATCGTTGTTACATTCCATAAACGTAATCCTTCTTTTTTTACCAGATACTACAGTAACAGGACCAATTATATTAGTCAACGGTTGCTTAACATAACTTTTTATTAAACATTGTATAAGCAATGATTTCCCAACTTTGGGTGGTCCAACTACTGCGACTAAGATTGGTGGTGGTTCTAACGGTGTTCTATCTACTAAAGGTATATATTGTTTTTTAGTTTCGATATCCTGCTTACGTCGAAATCGTCGTTCAGCTTTAATTGCTGAATTAAATGTAAAAGCTTTCGGATTTTTCTGTTTATCCGTTAATTCTTGAATATGTGGATTTTTAGCTTTCTTCTTCTCAGCTTTACGACCAGCATTTCGTTCTCTATGCGTTTTATGTTTTACAGTATCTTCTTCGTTCGACATTTTGTTACACTTTCACACCTTCTAGATATATTTCATTAATATTACAAAATATTTATCATATTTTGCACTATTTTTAATCGTTTTCTTACTTGGTAGAAACACGCGACACGAACATGTGATTCTCATCAAAATAGGTTAGGTGTAAAGCTTTTAGAAAACTATATCGATAAAGAAGAATCAGGGGTGCGATCGAAGCGCCACGAATTTGAACTTACCATATGTCGATATTATCCTATTGATTTACCGACACTCCACGAACACTGTTTTACCAACAGTCTCATTCATATTTTATAACTTTCAATGAAATTATGAATGAATAATTATAATTAAAAAATATTTAATCATAAAACGTTAATAATGAATAAGTAAAAACTTAAATTGATATAAATTGTGTGAAATGATTAAATTAGTTATTTAGTTAATAATTAAAAATTTAAATTTAGTCATTGATGAATTTCTTCGTAGATACTCAATAAATTATGAATTCTATAGAAAAGAATCATTGACAAATTATTCCATAGATACACTTGAATATACAATTATATTCCCATATGAATTTCCACTTTTCTTATGTTAAATCTGCAACGAAATATGTCGATAGATTGGCCAACTGTTAAATTACGATGACGAAAAATTATCGCGTTACTTCTGAGGACATACATTATCCATTTGAAACCGCACAATACTGCTGGTCGATTGGAAAGTCATCGATCATGTATCTTAATTCGTACAATGACGAGTGATATTGTAAAATTTGAGACGATGATCGATCGTTTTATGTTCTTTGAGCAAATCGTTTCCCTGTAGCAAGTTAGTTTATAATTCGCATGTTCATCAAACGTGAAAAAAATTGTTTTATTATTTATTTATTATTTACAAAAAATATATTTGTATTTTATTAATTCATTACAATGAAATTCACTTATCGTATGTTCGTGGTACGCGTGTGTGTGTAAATGTAAACCAAAAAAAAATAAAAAAATAGAATTTAATGAATCTTTCTTCGTTGTAACTTACACACGTAAACGGTGTTCCGGTCTGTCAAACAAGGCGGACAGCTGTCACCTTTTAAAATCACGCTTAAAAAAATCGTTTTAATATACGATTCTGTGCGGTATGCACTTGTCTACAATTGACTCGCCTCTAACCGAAACGAATTGCGATGACGATTGGGGTGGATTTTTAAATGGAACATAATTTCAGGCTGCGAACATTCCCATTGCAATAAATGCTTCTAGTATGTACACACATACACAATATATATGCAACATTTATGTATATAATTATATATAAAAAGTAATTAATAATATTAGTTTGCTTGAAAAGTTCGCGTCAATTACTATATATATATATATATATATTTGTAATATAAAATATATTTTTCTTTAAATCGACACCCAATTTTCCAGACAACCCATTAGTACAGTATAGTAATTCAGAATTTTAAGTTACAGTATTTTTGTTGTTAATTTTTACTATCCCAATTAGTGATATGTTAATACGTGGTAATGTTAAAGTACGAAAACATTGATTGAACGTATCGTAGATCATACATAATTTCATAATTCGTAATACAAACCCAAAGTTTGACCTAATGAACCACTTAATCGACTTACAATTATTAATAGTTTCCGAAGATAATTTAATCAGCGCGATAATGCAGTTTAAGCATCAATTAACGTGATATATTCACTACTACATCGTCATTCAATCGTGTCTCGTTATTCACCGACAATTTAATCGTATGGGGAATCGAATAGGAACGCACAGATGGTACCTACGATCAAACGACCGAAGCTTGACTTTTGGAAATCTGGAAACTCGCATGATTGTCTGTGGCATAGTGCCGTACTTAATTGGTATACTAAAACGTTTAGAAGAAAAATCTAGATTATTTTATTTATCCTATTAGGAATTAGGCTAACGTTTTGTTCGATTCACGTACGTTCGTAGAATTCGTCAACGAATTTTCTCTCTTAACGATCAAATAAATTATTTTTTAAAATCGTATGGTTTTCGATGAAAACAAAACAAAAAATTACTACGAACTTACAAATCATTTCGTTTAACTCGAATTTTAATATTGTATCTATTTAAATATAAGAGATTAAAAATAATATAATATCTGGGCATAGGATTGGGGTCAACGCGAGAGACTGGCTCGATATAAGTTGAATCATGGTCAAGATTTACGATCCAAAACAAGCGAGAGATAGTTGTAATCGAAATATCAGTAACTGCTCGATGCGTGTAACATAATCGGTAATAAATTCATATTTTCGTTAGTATATAGGACAAGGAAACACGAGCAACAAATCGTAAAGTATAAGAATAAGTCAGAATAACCAGAGGGCGTGAATTCGTCGATAGTGAACAAGGTGTCCAGCAGAAAACAGACAATGTCACCCAATTATCGAACGATTGTCCCACAGTCCCAACTGTCAATGCTGGTCAAGTGTTGTCCGATCGGGGGAGTGACTGACCATCCTTCGAATCTAACTTTTACACCCTCCAAAACCTAAGTATTCTTGACAACAAGATAAATATATACTGGATATCCTGTAACCATAGGTTATACTAGTTAAGATTTTGCTATCACTATGGTTGTATAGGTTTGATTAATTAAAAATCTTTCTATTTTAAAATGTATCTTCGAGAAGAAGTTAATCAATGCAAGTATATCTAAGAATAAGAAGTAAAGTTAAATCAACGATTGTCGAATTATTATTCTATGATATATATATATATATCATAGAATAATAATATATATATATGTAGATACAATCTTATAAAATAATTAATTCAAATTAAAAGAAATTTAAATTAATGATATTTTCATTCGTTTTAAATTGATTAAAAAAATATTCTGCAACTAAGACAAAATTTGTCAATGACTCATTGATTAAATTAGACTCTTAGATATAAAATTTTGTTTCATCGTTTTATTATAAAGTAAAATAATTGATAAATGAATCGACATAATTTTTGTGGAATGATACTCGACGCGACATGTAAAATGATATGAACGATATCGAATAATAGTATATATATATTTGTCAGAAGTGTCCACCCTCCGATCGACTGTTTTTGCAAGTAGAATAGAATATATATCTTCAGAATTCATTTTCCTACCATAGTACGTAATTTTATGCATGTTTGCTTTACGAATGGGGTGGGGAGATACATATATATATATATACCTAAGAGCTATAGTAACTCCTGTATGTATATCGTGCAAGAAAAAAAAAGATTCTCCATCGATTGTTTGTCTAGAATATGGACTGACCAGTTGACCAAAAAAAAAAAAATTGCACTCAACTTTACCGTCTTCGTATGCGTACTCACAAATGTATATATGTAAAATTCCAATTAATATTATTAGAAAAATATTTGTTCAAGAGATATCACATCGCGAATGCAATGAAATTATTCTTATACGAAGAAGAGAAATAGAGAAAAACAAAAAAATGTATAAATTTATAACAAATGTATGTTATTTGTTTTTTGGGTCATGGGTAGAAAACAGGACAGGGGGTGGAGTGTTATGACGAATTCTTCTGTCTCTGTTACTCTTCTTTTAAATATCGAGATAGGGTTTAATAAGTACCATTCATCGGGATGTCTTTGGCTTACTTAAAACTTCACGTTGCTCTTTTTGTCTCGAATGATACACATACTTAAGCACACGCGCGCGCGCGCGTACACACGCTACACACAAAACGCGAGGAACACCTCGATTTGTGCCACGTGACTTCACGTGCAGAAGTCGCGTGCAGACCGGAAGCAAGAGCCGGATACTTTAGCCTGCCTCACGGTTCCGAGACACGGAACGATATAAGTCATCGATATTGTGACCTGCACAAATTTTAATGCTCCCGTGACTCACTTCAAACACGATGGATTTCTTATTTGTAATTTTTTATTTATATAAAAGAGTATTAACAAAAAAAAAGAAAGACATTCGTGGGGGACGGAGTAAAAATTGCTGACAAATCTTATTCCCGTTCGTATGTAATAAAAATAAATCTAATTTTTGTATTACGAATATATATATATATATTAATTTTCAACAGTTATAAGAAACATCGGTGATGATAAAAAGAATTTTTGGTTTTGTTGCTTCTTTTTTTTTTTCTTTTTTTTCTTTCGACACAAATATTTTGAACAAAATAATATAATCGATCATTATTTTTGTTTGTCATTTTAATATATGTATAAAATAAATATGTGTTATTAAAATAATTTAGAACGGTGCCTAATGTTAACTCTCAGCAATAGTGTGGAATAAAGATCGGTGACGATAATATTACCCGTGGGAAAACTTCGTACCCCTTTAATAATAAGAGGGTAAACTAGTAAAGGGGTGCAAAGGGATACTACATAATACGAAGAATACGGAAGAAGAATAGAAAGGGAAAAATAAAAAGAAAAAGAAAAAAAGAAAAGAAAAGAAAAAGAAGAAGAAGAATAATAAGAATAAGAAGAAGAAGTACTCAAAAAAGGTAACCAGAATCTGGACCACACGTAGCGACGAATAATGGTTGATCACGAGTCGTACAAAAATAGTCGCGTGCCATCGCGTGATCCACATTTCTTTCTTTTTTTCTCTTTTTTTTTGCCAATTTCTCTTTCAAAGAAACGCGTGGCTCGTTTGACTAATTTCGCTTAATTCATGTTTTTATATAAACCCGTTCTATAAAACTAAAATAATTAAACATCCATTTTTAAAATATCGAATAACAAATAATATTACAATATTGATTATGAACTTTTTAATATCGCAACATTCAATCGTGGCTTCAACAATTTAGATCGAAAATCAATTGATTTACTAATCATTATATTAAACATTATTAAATGACAACAAAATCGTTCCTACTGTTAAATAATTAATGATATAAATGTTGTCTTACGTTTTGTGTGTGTGTATTTTAACGTATCAAAATGTTCCTCGTTCGAATAAATATCAAACAATAATTGTTCTTATTTCTACGTTGAAACTATATTCGTATGACTGACACTTAAATAAATCACGTAATCGATTTGGATATTTATTAAAAAAAAAAAAAAAATACGCAATTGTCCAAATTAATGAGCAAATGTTTTAAGCAATGACCTAGTAGATGATCGACAATGTATTTTATAATCACAACCGGTCGATCGTTACTGAAAAGTTAACAATACGATTAGTCAGCTTGGTTCCCAGGCACACGGTGGTAGCCAGCAATAATCGTGCGAGCGCGTGCTGCATACGATTCCTGTGTGAACTTTATCGTGATCGCACCCTCCCCACGGTTCACGATCACCTACTCTTCTCAAATCTCCCTCCTTTAACCCCCCGCACCCCTCACCATCGCCCTCACCCCCGTTCTTAACGCGTTACGATGTCCAGTACTTTGCGATAGGTCGGTCGTCCGTGTATTTATGTATGTATGTATGTGTGTGCGCGTGTATGTGTGTATGTGGATATTCGTCAATCCAAGACCCCAGAACTAGCTTTCGACGCGTGTATGCACGCGTCTAACTTGAAAGAAGGGTGAAGAGGAGGCAGGGGGTGGCCAGTGGGTGTGGGAGAGAGTGAGACCAATCTAGGGTGCCGTCCAAGTGATTTCATGGTGGCGCACGTATCAATTTAAGGGATCGACGAAGGGATAAAACTACTAAGATTCTCGACTTATCGCCTAGCGATATTTTGTCATTACTTAAACTTAACAAATCTTTATCTTTTAACTTTAACTCATTGGTATATATCGATTAACCCTTCTTTGCATGATTTTTTCTTTTCTTTTAAAATAAATCAGGGTGATGTAATTAATGCTCTAGATTAAAGGAAAAATATTTAAAAAAATCCTAGTGCTATTTTTTGACAACTGCGTTTTGTTGTACGCAATAGTCGCTTAAAAAGTTGCCAGCAACAACAAATATACAGTACAAGGGTTTTGAGTACCTTTTTTTGTTGACTAAATATTATGATTGAAATTTCCATCATCATGCAAAGAAGGGTTAAGTATTATTCAAAAAAAGATTTCAACTAATAATTTTTGTATATTTTTTAATAAAATTATTTATAAAAACGACACTTTTATATCTTTTTTATTTATATATTAGGACGATCAATAAATCCGCGTGTGTGTGTGTGTGCACTTTTTTTCTATACAAATAATATAGGAAAAAATCTCACGAACTTATCTGGTCAATCTAACTTTTCCAAAAATTATTCTTAGATAGCTCAAATGGACAGAACAGTCGCCCGAAAAGCGAAAGGTTCTAGATTCGTGTCCTGGTTTAAGACAACCGATGTTTCCTCTTTTAGGGGGAACATTTTTTTTAATAAAATAAATATTAGGTCTAATATATTTGTAAATCGTCAAGAGAACTATTCCTATGGGTAACCCAATAAATTTGTTGGACGAATACGTCGAATGATAATAGATAAGATAGATAATAGTTTCTAATCAAATAGAATAAGATAAATGATAAGAAAAGATGGATTCCCGAATAAAGAAAGGAAAAAATAGGATAGGTGGAATGGAGTGGGGTGGGGTGGATGGGGGGAGGGATATTTTTGATAGAAAAAAGTGTGCACACCGCGAGTAGAGGAAGCGCCACAGGCGTTCCCACGAAAATCGCCCCTTCCTGATCTCTCAGCTAGTTCTCCCCCTTCCCCCTTTCCCCCTCTCCGTCCTACCGAATGTTCATGTAAAAGTCCCTACTTCTTGTTTTCTCTCTTTCCTCTTCCCTGTTAAGTCTCGCCTTTGATCCATGGGGTCCCAGCTAAAGCTTTCACCTTGGAGGAAGAGAAGAAACCCATAGGTCCCCCCCACTCCAAAAATATATACAAGAGGAGTTCCCCCACTACTTGGCTTGAAACAGGGCACGCGGCTCGTGTGCCGTCCCTGGGTCCTCCCGCACACGACATACGTCCGCCGCCACGCGACTGATGCACACGCGTGCGGGAGCTAGCTAGTACTGGACAGCAACAGCAGCAGCAGCATCAGCACCATCAGGAGAAGAAGTAACATAACCGGCAACACGCATATTGTACTATATTCCTTCTATATTCCTTCGCGACAACGGGAATATAGTGCATCCGCGAAGAAGTTCCTCGCGGTTGCACCAACTTAACACCCAAATCCTGACACGCGACCTCAGGAAGCTGTGCCACGTGTGAACCTGATGATAAACAAGTGCTGCATTAGAAGTGTTTTTTTGATCGTTGTTAATCGTTTAAAACCTTGTCTCGTACAATTTTCCATCGTTTTATAATCATTTTTTTTTTTATTTTATTTTATTGATTTATCAATTATTAAAATAGTGTGACATTTTATATAAGTGTGATATCATCGGTATTATTGTCGAGCATGTCGATCGAAATAAATCGAAACACGGTGTATTACGGTGGTGAATTATTAATGAAGAATTAAATCCCGTTTATAAGCTCTACGTTTCGATTTACAACAACGATTGGTTATCAAGGACAAGGTTTAACGATCGGTGCACCCTTTGTTTGGTACCGCAATGCGACTAGTATGACACTTGATCCGTTTAACAGAAGCATCGTTATGGGATCGATATTATTCTATAACAGATAACACCTACTAGCCTGGAAAAGTTAACTTTTCTGATAATTGCGGAAACACTTCACTTGCCACTGTTTGAACTTTTAACGAAAACAACTGCCATTTAAGTCTTCCAATTTTCTATAGACATTATTGTTTCTTGATTATCTTCGATACAAATTTGTCATAAATAGTTGTTAACAAAAAACATCGTGAGAAAATGTGGCGAGTAGTAGTAGCATGCTCAGACGAGAACAGTACGCTCTTGTCATCGGACATTACTTCTGGTGCAGTACCACCAACGCATTTACCGTCAGGTCATCATTGGGGTTATCCACCACCACCTCATCACCATTACCAACCGCAACATCCTGACATGCGTCATCATCACGATATGAGACCACCACCTCCTGACCTTCGTCATGCACCACCACCACCACCACCACCACCGCCACCATCTTCAAACATCAACGATATCAGGAATCACGAAATGCAAAGACCTGATCTTAGGCATCAAGAAATGCAAAGACATCCGGAAGCACAAAGACATCATGATATGCATAGATCGGAGATTGTCAGGCATCAAGATATCCGACACAATGATGTCAGGCATCAGGACATGTCTGGTATGAGACCTGATATTACTGAAATGAGATCTAATCACGAATATTCTGATATGAAAATGGATGAAATGAGATCTCAAGATGCTAACCAACAACAGCAACAACAACAGCAGCAACAACAGCAACAACAAAATCAAGCCCATCAACAAAGGAATCTTAAAAGAGCTATGAGCGACTCGGATTGCGATGACGTTTTTTCCGAAGAAAGTGGCAAAGAACCGTAAGTATATTTTAATATCTATTTCAATGCAGTAATATTATAGGAATAACCTTGACTTTAGAAAATGACTGTTCGATCGATATACGTAATACATACGTACGGCTATAATTGGTCGCTATTTTCCATATATCCTATATATATATATATCATGCATCATCTAACTTACGAGAAACTTGAAACATAATCGATAAAATAATTTAATCGATTTTCTAAACAATAAGGGAAAAAAAACAATACAAATTCATTTCACTCAAAAAACGATCAAGAATTTGCGTATACATATATATTTCTTTGTTTATTTTTTCGTTCGTTCGTTTTAGATGCAACTCACCCGGAGGTGATTCTTGTCAGCACGCATCACGAAAACGTAGGAGAGGGATGATAGAAAAGAAACGTCGCGACAGAATAAACGCATCCCTCGGAGAACTGCGAAGATTGGTGCCTGCAGCAGCTCGAGACCCTCACAGTGCGAAATTGGAAAAGGCTGAAATACTTCAGCTTACCGTTGAACATTTGCGTACTCTTAGAAACAAGGGTAAGTATATATATATATATATATACACAACTTTTCTTTTTAGAAATAACCCTAACCTTTCCTGACTAATCCTTAAAAATATGTAATCGTAAGATTAGCACACACACACACACACACACACACACAACTAAAAACACTTGCCTCGAACATAAACGGTAAGGCTAACGGTTATCTGAAAACTATCAAAATCCGTTTGAAAATAAGATATATATGTGTATACGCAATAATGGATCTAACTGTTATTTCAAATAACGGAACTATTGAGAGCTGAGCAAGTTCTTCCACTTCCTTTTTTCTCAGTTTTCTGATTCACAGCTTGTCCTTAACCCTTTTTCGAGGGATATTGCACCCGGGTGTCCTTTAACAGTAAACCCAAAAAAAAGAAAAAAAAAGAAAAAGGCAACGAACAAAAGGTGCTACGTAATGATGATAATGATGTCCACAACGCAAAAAAAAACGATTAATCTATATTTTTATTCTTTTTTAAAGATCGATACTTTTTAATCTAGATAACAATTCTCGTTTTATCTCGTGTTGCTCAACCAAGCGCATACTTTATTACAAACGTATTCGCGGTTGATCGGACATAATCGATCAGTAGAAGTTTTAAAGTTACTTTCCAAGTCAAGGTCGATGCAAATCTCAATTTGCATTCTATTGCAGTAGTATAATCGTGTTTTCTTCCGTATCCAATCACTTCCTTCTGTTTCTCTCTCTCTCTCTCTCTCTCTCTCTCTCTCTCTTTTTCTCTCTTTCTGTTTCTTTTTACAGCCGTCATTTGCTGATTCTTTTTAAACCGGAAGACACCTGTTGACCGCGCTCTGAGAAACGGTAATTCCATAACCGAATGACCATCTGCCGTTTCGTATAGATTTTCCTCGTTAAAATGCATTCAAACGTTTAAAACAAAACAAAACAAAAAATAGACTCGATGTTGGTTGTATTAATTAAAACACTTTTTGTTTCTCGTATGTGTGAATAATATATAATCGTTATACCTCGTACAAGGGGAACACAATTTATAAAACAAAACAAAATTTTACTCCTCGGAAATGCAATACTCGATAAAGAAAAAAAAGAAAAATAAAATAAAAGGGGAAGAGAGGAATAGCTAACTGCAACATCCTGCGGATTCAATAAAGTTTATATTTATAGTAACGTCGATAAAAAAAAAATAACAGAAAGAAAAAAAAAAGAAACAAACGATCGGATGACAAATTTCGCGAAAGAATCGTTCGACCGTGAACACATTTCTATTTTAAAATAAATAAATAAATAGATAAGTAAATTAGAAAAAAATTTATTTAAAAAATCACATGTGATCTCTCCGAATCGCGTGTTTGATATTTAAAAAAAAGATTTTTTTTTTTTTTATTGTATTTTTATATATCCGCGTATATATCGATTTATCGAACAAACCTATAGAGAGAAACAAACAAACAAAAATTAGATCGTAAGATTCGAGGCAGGTTTTGCGATATTTCTTAACCAATCCATGAATCCTGTTGAATCCTTGTCATGAATCCCTCCTCCGAAGCAACAGCAGCAGCAGCAGCAGCAGGTGCTGAATCCAACTGGAAGATCCTGTGGGAAGCACAGGAAGTCAACGACTCTTCCTCGATGGCGTTCCCACGATTGGTGGCGGTACGATAAAGAGAGAAAGAAAGAGAGAGAGAGAAAAGAAGTTAGAATGTGTTAGCGTATACGTGTAGGGTGGGCTCGCACTAGCACCCCTCATGAAGAAGGCGCTGAGTTGCCAGCAGCGGACCGGGGCAGATGTCGAACTCTGTGGGAAACCAGCTACCGAGTTCTACACAAACTCACACATATACTCACAATCTTTCTATTGCAATTTGTGAACAATATTGAAAATATATCTATATCATCTTCTCTAGGTATTGGCCAATCTATAAAATAATATTTTTTGTTCCCAAAATTTTTATATCAAATTTGTGTTGCTATATGTTCTATATCAAATAATAATTATATTATTATTAAACGTTATTATATGCATGATACAAATAATATAATTAGAATAATTATAGAAAAGATTAAATATCAAATAATAATATAAGATATAATCTAATTTTTAATATATTAAAAATATTCATTTTTAATTTTATTGCAAATATAAATACGTGCCTATGTGTTTATATAAAAGGAATAAGATTCCTATAGAAATAGTAACTATCTAACACTACTAGAACTTACAACGTCGTGGGACAGAAGCTAGTATTTCGAATTGGCGTGCAAGCTCTTTGCATGTGGCTCCTCCAGTCTATGGGGGTCTAAACGGTTCCCACGCTACCTGTCCCATTGCCCCCACCCTATTATGATACAATACCCCTCTGACTGGCAAAGCCAAGGCTTTTAGTACATCTGAACACTCTCTTTCTCTAATACACTCTTCAGTAAGAAGGCATTGTGATGTCCTGACACGAAAACTTCTACGCATCTTACCTTACAATAATAATAAACCTATCGCAAAATTTCCCTTTTTCCTTTTCTATTCTTTTTCTACACATACATACTCTCTCTCACTCACACACACACATACATACAAATCATTGATCATTGATCATTCTTCTGTCGCAGGACCTGACGGATACGACAGTACAAAGTTAGCTATGGATTATCATGCTGTTGGTTGGAGCGAATGTGCCGCTGAAGTTGGACGTTATCTCGTCACCATGGAAGGTTTAGATGAAAGGGATCCATTAAGGTTACGACTCCTTTCACATCTTCAAAGTTTTCATCGAGAACATCCTGCCGGACCGCCATCTTCAACCGGTGTCCCTGGTTCTGCTGTACCTTCGGCAACAACATTAACGTCAACCTCAACAGCTAGCAACTATGAACCACCTAGTAGTGTACCCACTGGTATGCCACCAGGAACTGGTACTATGCCACCACTTATTGGTGGTGGTGCATTAGGTTGGAGCCAATATCCTACGCAATACGCACAACAACAAGGCAAACCTTACAGACCATGGGGTGCTGAACTTGCCTATTGAGGATATGATTATTTAGGAGAAACTATATCTTTTGATATTAATTTATAATTTATATATTTATTTTTTATTTTATTTTTTTTTTTTTTTTATATAGGTCAGGCTCATTTTATTCGTTTGTTAAGAAGATCTCTTGATGAATCGCATTAATGAGCCAATTTATTAATTTCTTGTAAATAAGTCATAGTTGTGGTATATTTTGTATAAAAACGATCTCAAAATGTATCTCAGGAATTTGATAAGGATGACTAAAATGTTAGGATTGTTTAGATAATACGACATCCTACAAGTGATACGATGATAGTCATAAATTTATATAGAAATATTATATATATTATATTATTTATACAAATTTTTTGCAAAAAAAATAATAAAAAAAAATTAAACGAACAAAAACAAAATAATAATAATAATAATAATTATTTATACAAATTTTTTGCAAAAAAAATAATAAAAAAAAATTAAACGAACAAAAACAAAATAATAATAATAATAATAATAACAATAATAATAATAATAATAATAATAATAATAATAATAATAATACGATAGAATGAAAATCTTGTACAGTGTAAATAATTGTATATTTATAAGTTTTTTGTTTCTTTTTTTTATTAATAATAACATTTGCAATGTGGATTGAATCTCTTATCGATAGTTGTAATGCAGTGTGAATTTTTTAATAATACGTTTTTTCTTTTTGTTAAAATTACATTCCAAAGAGAGAAACTTATGCGAAATTATGAAGAAGAAGAAGAAAAAGAAGGAGAAAAAAAATACGTGCCATTGTACGATTAACCGATTTTCAAACGCGCATGAATGATAGACAACGATATTTTTGCAATACGAATACGAATTTTTTTTAATAAAGAAGCAAATGCGAGAAAAAAAAACAACCGACGACTCCGTGGGAGAGTGTTCCTTTTTATTTTTTTTTTATTTTTTCCCTTTCATCTTTCCATCTTTTTGTATTCCTATAATATTAATTTTTACAAAGGTGGTGTAAAAATTGTACGAAGCTTATGGCGAGATGTTACAGACAGTGTATAGTCTTCTTTTCTTATGCAAACATTCTATTCGCAGCTTGCCCAACACACAAATCCATAAAATACTCGTATACATGCACACATATATTCAACACGCAAATCTACATTTTATGTATGAGTCCAAAGAACAGAAGAACTCTTGACACCCTCCCTTAGGCTTCCTTCTTTATACGCGAACCAGTTTTACTACGTCTCTCTTTCTCGTTAGTTTAGTTCTCGCAACGTAAAATATATATAATGTGAGATTTTTTTAAACAAAAAAAAAAAAAAAGAAACAAGGAATATAATTGCTACTAGGAATTGCATGGAACCCACCACCACCACCAACACCACCCTCTGGTGATTCTTCTCGTGCGAAAGCAATTTTCGAGAATCAGGAATATCGACTAACGACACGTGCCTATTGTTCATATTAAGCTTTGCAAATTTAAGAAGGCTCGTTACCCTCCCACAGTTTTTCTATCCTCAAAGGATTGCATCCCAGAACCACTACGAGTAATTGCTAAAACGTGCACGTGTTGAAACTATTATCATCGTTTCCCTTTAGTTCTTTCTTTTTCTTTTTTTTTTTTGTTTACTTTTTTCTTTTTTCTTCTTTTGCGAAACGTTGGAGAGAAATAATATGGTTCTTTTTTCTTTTTAAGGAACATTTTAAAAGCGAAATTTTATTTATGAATTGAACGATCAATAAATCCGATTTATTCATTGAAATTATTTCTTTTTTCTTATTATTATTATTATTATTACTACTACTATTATTTTCTATCGGATTTATCGAATGAGTTTGGAATATAAAAATTGTTGTCAAAGAAAAAAGGGATTAATTTGAAAGAGATTGACGGTAAAAATACATTTTTCAAAGAAATAATTCCAATAGACCAAAATGATTTTAAAACGATGTTAAGATAAAAATAAATTTTAACGAAATAATCCTGACCCAAATTAAAGCGACTATTTTAATAATAATCTAATTTGTCGGAAAGAAACAAAAAATATACTATAACAATTTGCATGAAATGTGAAATGGAATTACGATAAAAATAATATTCGACCAAATTGTGTGTCACGGATCGATGAAACCATTCCAGAAAAAGTAATTTAAAAAAGGGAAAGAACTTTTCTAATGGAAAAAAAAAAAGATAAAGAAAGTAAAGAAATAAAAGATATTTATCTATAAAATAACCTTTACTCGTAAATGGCACGAACAAATAAAAAGAACTTGTCCAACTACTATAGTATAGTAAACTATTGCAAGACTAAGAAAGTTCATGCATATTTGAAGACACGCTAGACGAACGAAAGGAAAGTAATACAAGTATACACACATATATATTTATATGTACACACATATATATAATAGTGAATAAGGTGTAAAATTTGCAATAATGTAAAATTCTGACTTCAGTGATCGCATTTTATTGATGACGCTAGCATCCCTTACAAAGTCACAGCCTTATCAACGTCTATCCATTCGTATATCTTTCACACATTCAAAATATGTCACACTTATGCCAAATACGTACACATTTACATATTACGTTACATATATGATATATATATATATATATTTTTTTTGTTTGTTTGTTACATCTATCCTTTTTAAATTTTAATATACGACATAGAAATCTTCATTAATCTAAACAAATATATTTCCGTTAATATCAATTTTCTTCTTACTTGTTTAATAAATTTATTTACAATTGTAATCGTAGGAAGAAGAATATAATATATATATATATATATATATATATATTTTTTTTATTAATGTTGAATATTATTTAATTAAATGGACGAAAAAGATTCGTTCGGATAGCGTTTATATGTGTATATGTGTGTGTGTGTGTGTATGCTTATTAGTGAAACGTTTAACATAAATTTGTGTATACACATATAATTTATCCCATTTGTTTTTTATAATTTACAATAATTAATTGTTTGAATTTATTAAAGTACACATACCAACATTTATATCGATTAAAGTATTAGATGAAATAAGTAATATTTTATGATATTGCAAGTATGTTACCTTGGACGTGAAATCGACTCAAACCAACTAGAAACGAACATTAACTTTATTTCTATTCTATTCTATTCTATACTATATTCTTGCACACACATAGGCATATATCCAATATGCGTTTGTACTATATTTGGTATTGCTGCACTATAAAAAAAAAGAAAAAAGAACTTATATCGAATAATATAGCAACAAGATTGTATCGTTTGCTAGAGAAACATTTTCTTTTTTTTTTTTTTTTAAATTAAAACAGATTCAATCAATCCAGTAGAAGCTTATTTTCTAAAAATTTATGCTAGAAATACACACACAGAGACGGAAATACAAATAATCTTAAGTTTATACATTTTTGTGGACGATGATAATTACAATTAAATTAAACGAGATCAAAATAATAATAATATTAATAATAATAATAATAGTGAGATTTGTTTAAAGATCTATTTCGGAAGACCATCATGTAAAAAATTTTCCATTGGTCTAACACAACATGCGCTTCGTCATATCTTTCTTTTAAATAAACATTTTTTCTTTTTTATTGCCAGCAATATTAGGAACGCGTGTAATAAATAATAAAAAAATATCTGTACAACGGAGAAATAGAAAAAGATAGATAAAGAAAAAAGTGTATAAATAATAAAAGAAATAAAATTAATTATATTTTACAATATAACGAACGTTAGATCGTCGTCATTTCGTTTTCAATGTTCTCGTTTCTCTGATTTTCTTCGTACTCGTCACAGCAATTACAACATCTCGATTCGCAATCGTCAATGTTCTCGATGACGTAAGTCATATAAGTGTCGATACTTTTCGCATCCAGGGATGGAAGAGACAAGGAAAGTGATACTGCATCAAAATCTCCTATACTTGATTGCCAACCATTTCCACCATTACCACCACCATTGGATTGTTGCGACCTTTTCAATTTTCGACTCCTCGTTGACAGCTTCTTGATCGCCTACGATTAAAATTAACGATATGTGTTTATGCCTGTTTGTTTTTTTTTTTTTCTATCTATTGAAAAAAAAATGTCAAAAAAACAATTTTCCTACTTTCCTAACTCTACCCCAATTCCCTATACATCAACTCACCCACCATCACCCTATATCACCCCAAACCCCTCCACCTCCCTCCCGCTTCTAACTACTACCCCTTCCTCATTCTTCCTGACTACAAACGAGACTCTCTGACGTAAAACACGCAAGCTAACAGATTACGTTACACGATAATATTCCTATCTTCATATGTAAGTAAGTGTACGTGTGTATATACACATATATGTGTGCGTTTATGTATCTCTAATGTTACAATAACACGTTTTCAATGCTTCCAGATAAAAACGATCAAGATTTATCATTTATCTATCCCATTTATCTATCACATTCGTAATACTTCTTGCTTTTTTACTCTTTACTCTAAATTAATTTCTTTTTCTTTTTGCTTTTCATAATTGATAAAAATATTAAAAAGCTCTCGGAAGTGGAATCGAACGGTCAAAAACGATGAGCAAGCCAATGCCCGGGTCACTCTCGGATGTCACGCTCGAAAATTAGGTCGTCGAGCTACGAACTTTACACACATATATACGTATGTACGTGTATGTCTCTCTCTCTCTGCACGTATACTTGTTTCTAACTAAACTTATGCACGTATTATACATCGTATGACGCATAACATTACGTATAATTATTTTCACGTATAATAATTAAAAAAAAAAACAACAACAACACCGTTGTATGTTTTCTTACCCGTAAAATTCTGCGCCCTGATTTGCTCAACAATTTTTTCAACATGATCACTTAAAAATATATCTTCTTCTTCCTTCTTCTTCTTCCTTCTTTTCCTATGGGGTGGTGGTATCCTTGTTGGTGGATGATGTCGAATATTTTGAAGGATTTTCTGTGACGTCACTAAACGTAAGCGTCCAAGTTAATCGTTCCAATTTTATCTCGATGATGTATATATTATTCTTTCCTTTTGTCTTTTTTTTCTTTTTATACTTAATTTTCAATTTCAATTTTTATATACGAGAAATAAAAAAATAGATGATAGAATGAAAATGCGTAATTTTCAAATGTCAGAGAATTACTTTCGTATTTTTTTCCTCTCTCTCTCTCTCTCTCTCTCTCTCTCTCTCTCTCTCTCTCCCCCTCTGTATGTGTATATATATATATATGAGTGTATTAGAGTAACGTAAAATACGATCGATGCGAACTGTACGCCGTCGCGAGACGAAATGCCGCTCCTGCAAGTTACCCTCTCCTATTTATTACCTCGGTCGGCCGCGACCTTATCACACATTATGAGAACCCCCCCCCCAGCCCCTTTCCCCTTTCTCCCCTTTCTCCCCATTCCCCTCTCCACCTCGACGTTTTTTTCTCTTTCCCTATAATTTTCTCTTTCTCCCTCTTTCTCTGGGGGTTTTCTCGTTTACCCTCACCCCTTGTAACTTTTGCAAGAAAGATTTTACGAGACAACCCCGTGGACGATTTTCCCCTAACACGCTTAAGACGAATCTTGTTGATATCATCTCGTGACATCTTCCCATTCTCCCACCGATCGTCATATCCTCCTACTACCTCTATACAAGATGATTCCTTTTTTATTTTTTTTTTTTTTTTTTTTATTATTATAATTTGTTTTGTATATTGTTCTATTAATTATTATTGAAAGATTGCTGATCAAAAAAGTATTGAAATAATTTTTCCGATTTTCTCGATGAATTTTCGATTACATTTTTTTCTCATTACTACACTAGGTTATAATATTTTCTTAGATAATATGTTTTCTTTTTCTTTCAATTTGTTTTTTATATTTTACTCATCGATCGAAAGATTTTGTTACAATGTTTTCCGTTTATGTATCAGGTTGCTCGGGAAAGTTGTTCGTACCGATTTATAAATATTAAAAGTGTTTTTCTTTCAAATTTTCTTTCCGGGTAATCTAATAATATGAAAAAGAATATATATGTTGTTTATTTATTTAAATGTGAAAAGGAAAATTTTAAACAAATTTTTATATAACTTACGGATTATTATTTTTATCATTAATGTTTTAATTATAAAATGTATCATTAGAATTACGAATAATTTCATGAGTATTACATTTTATGTGTATCTCGTTTATTTTTATTTTCATATTTTAACTTAATAAATATTTCGAATATTTATTGATGATAATTAATATATATATATATTACTTTTGTGTTCGTAATAATTATTAATTATAATCTTAATGATAAAATTAAATTGTTTTTTTTTTTTTTATATTGAACTAGTAATTATTTATAGAAATTTGCAATAATAATAAATTCTTGAAATCTTTACGATCGATACGAAACATTATAAATTTACTTTTTCTTTTGAATAAAAACAATAACACAATAATAATAATAATAATTATGATGAATATTAATGAAAAAATAATGCAACGATCGATTCAATTCTATTTGGTGTCCAGTGGGATCATGAAAGAGTGAGAGAGAATGAGAAGAAAATCGAATTGGATTAATGGCTCGATGATTGATGGCGAATTGTCAATAGAGTATACACTATCTCTGAACCATAGATATAATAGGATAAGTTAATTGATCGTAGATTCCACTCGATTGATTTTTCGTCCTTGCATTCTATTATTATTTGCATTTCCTATATATACCGATTAGATAGAATATTTTTGTTATCCATGGTCGATAAATTTCCACCACCACCACCACCACAACCACTACCACCCTCACCCTTAAAATAAATTATTTAAAATAAAATATTTGTTTTTTTTCATTTTCATATTAATTTATTATCTTTTTTTTCATTATTATTTAATATATCCCATATATGTAATATTCAAAGAACCGCAAATGAAATATATATATGAACACTTAAACGTAATTAAATGATCGATCCTAAGATCGAGAACCAACCTCGTTTCTGTGCACGTGCATCTCGAACGTGGACACGCGTCGATCGTACATCTCTGCGGTCAAAGAGAATTAAATCATCTACAATATTTGTAGAAAGATAAAGATAAAGGTAAAGATAAAAAGATCGACAAAAAACAACTCTTCCTTCCTTGCTGCACTTTTGTTTTTTTTTTTCCACGGGGGGGATCATTCGCATGCTTTTTTTTTTACAATTCGAAACGAAAAATATCGATCCGTCGTGCGATTCTTTCTTTCGATCAAAATTATAAAGAAAAAAAAAAAAATATATATATAAAAAAAATCACAGGCGCATAAATACGAATAAAAATGAATTTAATTCTCCGTTGAGAGATAATAAGATATACAAAAATTCGTGGAAATGATTCGACGCCTTTGGTATTTCCTTCTTCTTTTTTTTTTTTTTTACAAGTTAATTATAAATGGGATCAAGATGAAAAGACGATAATGTTTATAGCTCGCGTTAGCGTACTTTCAATAAAATGGTCGATCATGTGTGTCTGTGTATATGTGTATGTGTATGTATTAGTTACGTGTAGATGTGACGCGTGTGATCGAGGTAGTTCTCACGCGAGGGCACGTGCCCCATTCGTCGTACCCCTCGACGTACGACGTTCAAGCTAACAGCCACGTGCCGGCTCGGTGCTTCCACGAAAAACTCATAATTGTCATAACATTCGAGCATGGACGACGACGAAGAAGACTAAAGACAAAAAAAGAGTAAAAAAGACAAAGAGAGAAAGAAAGAGAGAGAGAGAGAGAGAGAGAAAGAGAGAGAGAGATCCTTCCATAGAATTGAATTCATAAGTGCCCTCCTTCGTTCTATGCTAAAATCTCTTTTGTGTTTTGCAAATCTCTTCTACTTTTCTTTCTTTTTTTTTTTATTATTATTATTTTTTTTGTATTGAAACGAACTTTTTTAACCGATCGTAAAGATCAATTTTTTTGAAATGACATAAAAAGAGAGGGAGAGAAAGAGAGTGAGATAGAAACCATAATCGATCATCGATAGTTAAACGAAATTATGGATATACGTGTGGAGATACACACGTACACGATACACAATCGAAAATATTAGTATAGTACAGTACTGTTATTTGATTTACTTTAATTGATTGTTAATAAATCGAAAGGAAATGTATATTGTAGTTTAAAAGCACCGAATATGAATATGGTGTGCCGTCATCTTTGCAATTCACCGTTAAACTGGACCTTGTTGTCCTCCGTGAAAGTTATTTTATTAATTTTTGTTCATACGATTTTCAAAAAAGTTGCGTATGTCTCTCTAACGGGAATAATATTCCTTATAAATAGAATTAAATATAATAAAACATTATGATTTAAGCATTCTTTCTATCTTTATATAATTGTTTAAACTAAAATATATTTGTTTTAACGTTCCCCTTTTTGCAATGATGACATCGTAGGTAAAATTTTCGTCTAAAAGAATATAAGATCGAAATTATGTAAAAGTACGTAAATATATGTATGTAATTTTTAAATCAATATATATGTATTTAAACAATCTTAAATATAAGAAAAGTATATTAGAATAATAAAATATAATTGTTAATTAATCGAAAGGAATGTATATTGTTACATAATAACACGGAGTATATGATCAGTGCACCGTCTTCCTCGAAATCCATCGTTAGACTGGCACGTTGTCCTCTGTGAAAGTTTTTTAATTAAATATTGTTTATATAACTTTTCGAAAAGTATTCCGATATATATACATATATATATATATATATATTCGTCATAAATAAAATCTATTCATCTGAAAGTCATATAAATAAGAATCAATAAAAGAAATTTAATCGACTTTCATGGAGGACAATGATTCAGTTTACTGTTGGATTTCGAAGGGGACACTACATCGAACTTATACTCGATGCTTTTAAACTACAATATACATTTCTTTTTATTTATTATCAATCATTTGATATATATCGAACATTCCGTGTGGATGTACTTTATTAATATTTTCGATTGTTCGAATTAAAATACATTTTTAGATTTTTTTTTTTTTTGTTTTCAAGTAAACCATCATTAAAAATATTTTTTTGTTTCTACAATCTCTCATCTTTCTTTCTTTATTTCTTCTTCGTAATTTACATTACAAAGAAGAGTTGAACGAGTTGATATATTTTAACAAAAACATATTATATTTCATGAAAATAGTTTGCTAACGTTAAACAAAAACGATTATTCCAAGAGAACGAGTTAATCTAATCCGTTTCCGTTGAAACGTAAATGAAACTTTGTATTTCAGTGATTTTCTGAACAAAACTCTGAGAGTCTCTTCTTGTGATTGATTAATCGGTACCAGGCTGTGCAAAGATAACACGAGAGACACTCCTTGATAACATTGTCAAATTTAACGATATTAAATGACGAGTTATTTGTCTCTTGTCAGCGAAACCAACAAGTTTACGTTTACGATATCTTGACGTATTCATTTACTGACGTCAATTCTGACCATATATTTTTATTTTATTTTATTATATTTTATTTTATTTATCACTCTCTCTCTCTCTCTCTCTCTCTCTCTCTCTCTCTCTCTCTCTTTCTTTCTTTCTTTCTTTATTTCTTTTATTTTACTTTTGTTATTCTTCCTCTTTCACTTAATTTCCTCGAATTAATAGTTCAACGATCGAATAAATAAAACGAACCGGCTAGATAATTTCCTTCGATTATTCCGAAACATTGTTTCCGCTTTAGAAATAAATGACGTCATATTCTTCTTACAAATAATTTATCTTAATATATATTTTCATTGTTATTTGTCTTTTTCCTCTTCTATAATATTCATTTTAAACGGATTAAAACTAAATCCCGTAGCACAGTGGCACGTGTCGAATATTGCACAGATGATCCCCAATCGTTAAGAAAGTTTAATCAAGTTTTCTATTTAATTGTACAATTGTATTCCTTTTTATATTAAAAATATATATTTGTCTATTATTAAAATCTAATATTAAACTTGTTGTTTATTATTTTTAATATTACGTAAATATTGTTGAATCGAGAGCAAATATTTTGTCTACGATTAGAATTCGATGACAGAAATGTTATATTTTTTTTTTTTTTTTTTTTTTTTCAACTATTTTTTTAAGATACACGATTCATAAACAAGATAATAAATTGACAAATTAAAAGTTAGATCAACGATATGGACCCAAGTTGGTAAATTTATTTACAATAGGAAGTTTTGAGTGACGTTAATAATTAGTTGAAAAATATTGAATGTGTGTGAGAATAATAAAATTAAAAAAGAAAGAAAAAATTCGATATAACGAAGTAAGTAAGAATGATGAAAGAAATAAGGTTCGCGGCTTGGTTGGTGCAAGCTAATCATTTTTAGGGGAAACAATTGCCATTGGCGATAGTGTAACGACCGACGCGTGCCATGTCACGTGGCTAAGAATGCACGTTCAAACATTGCATACGAGTGCACAGCAAAGGATAAAAAAAGAAAGGAAGAAAGAGAAAGAGAGAACGATAGAAAAATAAGTCTCGTCTAATTGCGACGGCCGTTCCATTAGAGATTAAACTTCAAACGGGGACCGAATGTTTCAACAAAATGTTCTTCAGTTAATTAATAATATCTCTCGTAACTCGAAGACAAAAGAATTAAACTCGTAATATCATCTAACAGATTGTAACAAAAGAAACCAAATTAAAATATATATTATAAAAATTACATATCGTTTTTCATAATACAAATTTGCAAAATATAATCGTAACGACCAACCATTTATCTGAAAGAAAATCCGAAAGATATAATAAAAGTATAAAGAAAATAAAGATAATGAGAAAAAATTATGATAATAAAATAGAATAATACAATTTGCACAAATCATTTCTCTTTCTCTTTTTCATTCTTCCTTTCTTTCTATCTTTCTTACTGTCCTCCTCTTATTAGACTTTGAATAAAGGTCAGAAGTTAATGGGAGCGAACACGTTAATTATACTGATGACGTATAACTCGAGAATTTTGTAAGACAGCACGTCCTCGAAAACGTCACGAATTACGTGACTGCGTTTACATTGATTTATCTCCAGCTGCAACTCGTAAATATTTGTAAAACCGTCGTTTACGATGTTGCAGTCACATCACACAAGATGATCGTTCATCGTCGATATTTCATTTACATCTGAATTAATATTATGAGAAATAAAAGGCAAACTTTTACATCGTTCTGATCAATTTCATTCGTGAAATAAACTGATTGTGACAGATTCTTTTTTTGAAATATTTTTTTAATTATAAACATAGCTAAATTGAAATATATATCTTTCGTAATTGTATTTATACCCTAACGGGTTGCAGTTATCAACAGCGTTTATATTCAAATACTACGTGGGAAGAGAATGGATTGATGCCTCTCACACGTTAGTCATATGATTAGTATAAGGCATGTACGTAGATATATTATATAAAACGATGCATTTATTCATAAAAGTGCATTTCCTGAGACCAAACATCTAGTGGTAAGGTGGAGCAAAGTAGAATCGGTTGGTAGTGTAGTAAACGAGCATCAGTAGGTAAGATAACACTAGAGTATCAGTTAGAAAGACAATACTACATAATCTTAGTCGATAGAATAGAACAAAACAGTATCGGTCGTTAAAGTAGTATTAAAGAATACAGACCTACATAAAAGCTCCCAAGGCATCTCTTTCATCTATCTAGATTCATTTAAGTTGCTACTGGGACTATCAGTGAGCGATGGTAAGTACTAATTGTACTAATACAATAGTATTGTACCCTCATCGCTCACTGATAGTCCCAGTAGCAACTTAAATAAATCTGAATAGATAAAAAAGGGACTTGTGAGTTTCTATATACTTCACCACAAAAAAGTTGGCATATATAAAATATTTTTTCAATTATTAATATCTAATTATATAATTAAATCATAAAGTGTGCAATTATATATTGCAAATGTGCAACTAGTGAGCACTTAAAAGAATACTTATTTATTTTTTCTGCTGTTTAGTTTCTATGCTAACTTTTCTACAGTTATCAAAGTATACTGTATTCTTTGATTGTATTGTAGCATCATCACGTTAAGTACTTACTATCGCCCACTGGTTGTCTCGGTAGCAACTAAGATGAATCTGGTTAGGTAAAAAAGAAGACTTATGAGCTTCTATGTTCTTCTGTATTTATTGGTAATGTTAAAATTAGTCATCAATTTCAATATGTTCATTCCTATTTATAAGAATTCAAAAACATGCACTCTAAACAGATATTAATCGTTAAAGATTGGCTATTAGTATGGTATAAATACTCTTGTGAGCGATGATACTAAATGTACACTATTTATAAAATTCTGCATCTAGCACTACGTGAGCGCTCGTAGTTCCATTATCAAGAACTTGATGTATAAACAGATTCTAACCTATCAAAAATTTTAACGTATCTAAGAAAGAACTTTCTGTGTGTAATTTTCAACAAGTAAACGAATAATTTAATAATAATATATTTGCAATTATTGAATATAACTGTGAATGATGAAAGAACAGCAACAATTATTACAACACTTAGAACAAGTTGAAGCCAAAGCTGGAGAAATTCTTACGGATAGACAAGAAATAGTTTCACTTGATAAACGAAGAAACGATGACAGAGTTGGTATGAGAGCACTGCAAAAAACGAATTGTAATAAAACATGGATTGTGGTAGGTCCTATGCTGCTAAAAATGCCAAATGAAACTGCTGAAGGATTACTTTTGAAAGGTAACTTTTGATTTTATAGACTATAATTCTATTCGATAAATTATAACGAAATTTTATTATATAGATCAAAAACAATGCGACGTTGAAGTAAATAAATTACGAAGTGATTTAAAAGTTAAAGTAAATGAACTGAGAGATTTAGAATTAAGTCCACCTGTACCTGGAATAATGTTGAAACCTATGTCCAATAAAGAGATGTCTGTAATGAATCAAGTTTTAGGAAAAAATTCTTAGTACAAGTAAGATTTTAATTTAAGTATTGACTGCTATACACTGATATTTAATATATACATAATTTGGATAATCACAAATTGGCTTAGTGGAAATCAAACTAGTCAAATAATCAGTAATAAATAGAAATGGTCGATAATTAATTATTATAAAAGTAGGTATATATGTATATAACAATCAATAACAAATGAATTTTTATATATGAAAAGATGTTACAACAAAGTAGAACTAAAAAAGGTTAAATAAAACAAAAGACACAGATATTATTACTCGTTCAATCGTGCCTTATCTCACACATTTTATGTTTTGATATCCTCTCGAACTTTATTATGGTGCAATCCTCGTTTCATGGAACACTTTCCTACATTTATTAAAAAATCTTACTCACCTTCCGATTACGTTGTGAGTAATTATTGACATTCTAGACGATTAAGATTTCTTATTAATTCGCTCAATCTATTCTTTCTTTCAACAATAAATTCAAGTTTACAAAGATTGCAAAAAGCAACAAGGAACAATCCTTCATTAATAAAATGTCAAAAATAGAGTTTACAGTAATAATTACTCTAGTTATAATTTTTGACCTATTTTGACGAACAATATATCATATTAAAGAGAAAAGTGTAAACTATAAAATACTTTGCTTTAATTGTAATAAACAAAATGTATTCCCTATGAAAATTTTCATATAAAACATTGTTGTATTTGAGTATTTGTACGCATACATGTTGGTAGTTTAAGTATTAAAAATACCAGCATGTTTTGCTTCGTCTTAAATGGGGTTGGGATTGTGGCTGGAAAAAATAAAGAAAGAAAGAGAGAGGCGAGGGGAAAAGGAAGAAAGAAAGAGAAAGTTAGAATTCTCTTTGTCGTTAAAAGTATTAAATTATTGCCGGAAAGTTGTTTGCATACAATGGCTCGGTGGCCTAAACGAATGTACTTCTATATTAGTATACACGTATATAAGAAAAAGAAAGAGAGAAAAGGGAAGGAAAAAGATACACAAAGGGATTGGATACCAAACCAAGTATTCCCTTATTTTCGTTCTTTTAGCTGCGAGGAGGAGTCAAACTAACAGAACTTCAATGCGACAACTTAAATTTATAATTCCATGCACAGCTCGTCTACGCCCACTTCATTCAAAGATATTGTTTTTGTTGGCACGTGTGTATTTTGTGTAGATTAATATTTATTTACTACGGTCAATAAATACTTTCTTATATTACAAAAAATATATATTCATTGGTTAATAAATAATTTAGAGAAATTTGCATTTTTTTTTTTATATTTAAATAAATAATATAAATTTCTACTGTTTATATACAATAAAAGTAAAAATAAAATGAAGAAGAGGTACTGATATTTAGATATATTTTTATATAAATGTTATATTGCGGATAGTTATATTGTTAAAAAGCAAGAACAAGTTTCATAATAAGAAGAATTTTAACGACCTTCGATCGATGCATTCCTAGAGACTCTTTCCAAGGAATCATATTCTCAGGCACGAACAACGGCTTTGTGTTTCTTAACTTTTCCTCTTAAAGTATCTAAAGCGTTTACTATATTTCTATAACAGTGCTCTTTCTTCAATCCCGTAATTAGATCTACAAAGAATTATGATATCGTTGTAAAATTTTTTATACAAGAATAAAAACAAAGAAACAACTCTTGGCCATAAATTAAACAAATTTATTCATTTTCTTATAAAATATATTCATCTTATTTTCATCACTTATATTTTCTTGTTTTTTTTTTCTCTAAGAGGAAATGGACGTAGACGATTCTATTTATAAAACAAAATTAGATATTTAATATAAAAAATGGTATATAAAAAAAAAAACTAAATATATAAAATAAAAAACAAAGTACACAATTGCATTAAATTAAATCATTCTCTCATTCCTTCTCTTTCTTTTTCTTTCTCATAAAACAAAAATACAAAGAACGAGAGCTAATAAGAATCGAGTGCATTAATAAAAGAAAAAAAAAAAAATCGTATGCATGTGATATCAACGACTCGCGTATTGTCTATCTCCACCATTTTAACGAGCTTGCTGCGAGCAAGCAACGAGCTGAAACGCACGTGCTGTTTTCGCGCCATGTAAAAGATAGAAAAAGAAGAAAGAAAAAAAAAAAAAGGAAGAAAAGAAATACATGAACAAGAAATAAAGAGTGAGAGAGACAAGAGGGAGGAAACGTTGACTCATTTCGTGCAACTTCCACTCGCGTGTTCTTGTCTCTCTTTTCGCAGCTGCGAATAAGAGCAGAGTCCAACACAACAAGGCTTCGTTCGATTTCCTTCTTCGCATTATTCGCGAATCCTGCTAGCTAGCTAGCTAGCTTTTGCGTTTCACATTTCACACCAGTGTGGATCCGAACCACCGACCCTTTACTTTACTTTCCATTTAGATTTTCTTTGTCTTTTCTCACGGGAAATATTCTCACACTTAATTCAACGCAACACGCACGTGCTGGAACATTATCAACCATTCCCTTCTTCATCTTTCAAAACAGATAAACAAAGGAAAAATCTTTCATTTTTCTTTTCTCTCTTTCTGTTTGTTTTATTTTTCAAAATGGTATGAACAATTTTTGTTATTAAATAAATTTTTCATCATAGAACGATAGATTTTCTATGTTTTTTTTTCACGATTAATTATCATCACCTATCGCGAATGATTTTTTTTTAATACTTTATATATTGTTACAAATATAACCGATAACAGACTGCAATAGTGTTTAAGGTTTTTTTTATTTAAAAATCCTACGACATTGTTTTCCTACATATCTCGTATAACATAATAGCTAAAGTTACTTGACCAGATGTTTATTAAAACAATCTCTCAAAGTTTGATTTCATTTGAAACACAGCGAAATTCTAATGCGCTTTGTTGACAAAAGCGAAATTTGAGAGAGAAAAACGGCCGAGGGAGAAAGAGAGAGAGAGAGAGAGAAATAATAATAATAATAATTATGAATATTATTATTATTATTATAATGCAGTATATAGAAGCAGAGTGATCAGTTTTATCTCTGTAAAACGTCATCGATAAGATACGACGAGAATCACGTTGTGTTCAGTTATTGAATGTGAATGTCACATTAAATGTATTTTATAACTATTCCTATTTAAAAATACCATCGTATAATTTTATTGTTGATTGATTTTGGAAGTAGAAACATTTTATTGTTCTTTAAGATAGAAACATCGAAAACCGTATTATCAATTAGTAAACAAAAGTATTGATTTATTTCTTTAAATACAAAAATAAAGTATTTACGTGTATATATTTTAAAAGATAGACTATAAATATATTGAAGATATACTAATTTGTAATCAAGATAGAGATAAACAGATATAGATAATTACGCGTTAATTTATAAATATATTATATAAAACATAGAGTACTTTCTCCGTAATTTAAACAAGCTGAAGGATAAGTAGAGATAGTAAAAAGAATCAATAAATTTTCCTATCAACTGACAACTAAAAAATATCAATGTTATCTATATATGGTCTACAAATGTTTCTCAATCTTCTTTAATCAATCAATAGAGCAGATAAATGTCCTAATCTTGAGACTTTTGACTTAGTTTGGTAAAGTTCGTGTTAGTTTACAAAAAAGTATTTTAATGAGGGTAGTACTGTTAAGTATCACAAGTACATTTGTATTGTTAATAAGATTGTAAGGAATGTTACTTGTATTTTAAAATGTGTTTTACCTAACAATTGATAAAAGTTTGAAAAAATTTGAAGAAAAGAAAGAGAAAGGCATATCGTTGAATAAAAAAGTAAAGATAAGATTCTCATCGATTTTATTGTTATCGAATTATCGATCTATGTTACAACATGATCATAAAGCACCTTCATAGATCAGAATCATCGGCTATGATAAAATAAGAAGAATAAGATAAAGAAGAAGAAGAAGAAGAAGAAGAAGAAAAAGAAGAAAGGTAAAGTGCGTTGTAATTGTCCTATCATGAAACGCATCGCGGATTCAATTGGATTCGAACGGCAATGACATTCCGTAACGTCGTCATTTTTCTAATCGTTAAACGCATTCAAATATGGCAATCTGAAGCCTGAGGTCCTTGGCTATATAGGCAGAAAAGTTAGCTCAAGGACAACAACCACACTCGTCTATTCGAATTTCATCATGGATGCGAAGCTGCTAACCGGGTGAATGTCACTGGTATTTGCGATTAAGATTCGTTTAATCTTACTCGTGTTCTTGTGTGCCTTTTTCACGAATCAACAGGGAAAATTTTAAAATCGATGATGGCAGAGAGAGAGAGAGAGAGAGAGAGAGAGAGAGAGAGAGCATAGAAATAATTTTACTTCTATCGACTCTACTCGACAATATTTTCTTAAGTTGATCCTTTTTTTTATTTTTTTTTTATAAAGGTTTATCTGCATTAAGCGGATCACAATTTAAAATTAAATTGAGTGATCCGCTTAAAAATAATCTAAAAGCGACGCTATATATATATACTTGAAATATTATTTTATTTTTCAAACAAGATACATGCCAGGTACTATGTTACCACCTACGAGTTCCGTTAGTAGAGAAAAGAAGGTAAAGAAAAGAAAAGAAAAGAAGCGAGGGTAAAAAAGAGGGTCGGTGAGAGCATAAAAAGGTTCTAGGGACGTCATTCAGTCGTAGCCCAAGTAAAATTCTACTAGAAAAAATAAAAAAGAGCAAAAGAAAAAAAAAAAAAAGCGGAGAATGATATATAGCAGTGTTGGACACACAAGGTCTGAAGTTCAAAGATGCGCGACGCGTAAGCCTTTTTGTTCATGATCTCGCAAAGTTATTTTTCACGAAATATTTTTCCTTTATAAAATCTGGATTCAACAATAATTTTGTTGTTTATAACTAAATTTAGATAGTAGTGATGTTCATAAGTGAAATAAATATGTTGTGGCCTACCAAAAAGATCGTTGTTCGGTTCTCGTGCTAAGAGATATGTCGGGCACTCGGCTACAGGTGCCACCTGCAAGTTCCGTAAGCGGGAGGGGAACGGTAAGAAAAAGGAGAAAAGAGAAGGGAGAGAGAGAAAGGAGGATAGACGAGGGGTCGTGTGGGGAAGAGAAAAGGGAAGGCTCGAGAAACGTCGTCTAGTCGTAGCCGGTGGCGGCAGGTTAAGGCGCGAATATCCAACATATCAGATCGGTGAGTCACTATGGCTCTTGTTCGATGCGTTCCGGCTACCCCATTCGCCGCCCACGCGACAACCCAGCTCTGACTCATCCACATTTCTTGGAAACGGTGCGCGTGTCTCATTTGAAATTTTCGGCTTGCGAGGGATCCAACGATGCTGTTCCTCCTACTGCGGCTGCTGCTGCTGCTGCTGCTGATGATGATATTACTATTGCTGATACTGCTGTTGTTACTGCTGCAAGCTCCCGTTATCATCGTTACTTCTTCTTCTTCTTCTTCTTTTTCGATTCTCTGCATTACTCTGATTGCTTGGAAAAACAAAGTTTCTTGATTAGTTTCCAAGTTAAATCGGTTCCCTTTTCGAAGAAACCATTGCATTTAAGTAGCATATACACTTCCCTCTCAAATCGATAACGCTGTAGTACATTTCGTGCAACCCCTCTGGAAGAGGGTTGAGATAGGGTCACGCTCCGATGCATCTTCCCCTTCACTTGCACCCTTATTCTTTTCTTACTTAGGTGATAACATCGTTTAACAAAGTATTTACTTATTCGTGCGTTAAAATCTATATATATATGCACATAAATATATATTGTTCGCAATTAAAATAATTGCTATCATTTTATTTGAACAAATCGAATCTTTAATAACAATCGAATGTTAACATAAAAATAAATAAATTTAATCTTAGGTAAATTCCATTAGTTTTTTAATATTACAAACTGTCCTCCTTTCGAGAAACGTTAAACGTTCCTCGTTAAAATTTGATTACGTGCGATGAGAAAGATATTATAATCCAACCGACCAACGTTCTTATTCAGATAGTCACGGGATCCCTAAAATAATATCATATTCCATTCTCTCTCAAAAAAAACCCATGCAAACCATTAAACTGGTATTATTAATAAAAACAATTAATCCTCCATTTATCGTCGTATAATTTCTCATTTAAAAATTCGCGTGATTAATAAAAAAGCATTTGAATAAGAATAATTAGTAGTCTCTTAAAATACCCGCGCAAACCATCCAATCATACATCCCTGGTTAGCGCGTTCACAGCTTCGATGTAGCGCCATTGGTTGAGTTGGAATAGCCAATGACGTCATCTTCTCTGCGTAGCGTCGGCGTAGAGTGGTTGGACGAAGGTAGCCGAACTCGGCCGAGGATAGGTCCGAACTTAAACGAATCTTCGGAGGTATTCCCCCGCGGTATGAGTCATCGTGCTGTTAGTTTCGCACGGTTTCGAGTAAAGGAGGCCTGCTGCCGCTGCTGCACGATAGACGACGTGCGCACACCTCGGTCAGCCGCTGTTTTTTAAACGTGTTCCTAAGAAAAAAGAAATAAGAGGAGGAGGAGGAGGAGGAGAAGTTGTGGAAAGGAGGGAAGGGGAACAGAGGAAGAGAAACAAAGAGAGAGAGAGAGTGAGTGAAAAAAGAAGAAGAAGAAGAATAACGGGGGAGGATTCTTTTCGAATCGAATTCTTTCGGAGCCGAACCAAGTGTACCTTCGTGTGCCTTTTGAGTGTTTCTTTCTATTTCTATTTCTCTCTCTCTCTCTCTCTCTCTCCCTCTCTCTTTTACTTTTTTAATAGAAATATTTATATATATATATATATATATATATTTTTTTTTCTTGTGCTTACGTGCGCGCGTATAAGAAAAGAAGAATTGACGCGTGTTAATGATAATACAATAAACATTAATATCGAAGAGTAATAAGAAAATAATCAAAGATGAAGTTGGACGTGTCTGATGCATTGTACGACAGCTCGAGTATTTCCAGCGACAGTGGGACATCGCAGAGTTCCCGAGTCAGCCATGATTTTCTCTTCACCATTGCTGCTAACTCTGCTACCTTACCGGGCAATGTAAGAATTACAGAATATAATTGCTTATTCGTATGTTTTTTTAATATTTGTTTGATTTTTTTTTTTTTTTTTTTCTAAAATGTAATTTAAATTGCTTATGTTTCTTTTTTTTTTGGGGTCAAGATTGTCAAAGTATTTTGTTTTGATTATTCTTTTTTTTACGTGTCCATTTATTTCCGTACAAATGTATTGGATGTCATTGAGTTTGTAAGGTTTCTTCTTTCTCCCCCTCTCTCTCTCTTTTTCTATCCTTGTATTTAATGTACACGTGCTTTAGAACGCACGCGTACTATTACTAGTAATACTAATTCTAAAACTATAATGGTAATACTCTACTGTAAAATTCTATTGTCGAGAAAAATAATTCCCATTTCCGTTTCTTTTCAATGAGGGGGTGAGGGGGTTAATTTGTTTTCGATGCATAACCTAGGAGGTTCGGTTATGTAATCCCTAACGCAAGCGAGAACAGTATTCAACGGGTTAAACGAGTGTCATGTTTTTTTTTTCGATGTTTCTTTCTCTTCGTAGAAAAAGGTAGACGATTGTATTGTATAGAAAAGAGAGAGCGAGTAGGAGTTTAAAAGTGTGTGAAAGAGAAAGAGAGAGAATGGTGGGCGGTGGAGATGAAGGGCAGGGGGAGAAGGATTACCAACTTACCAGAAAAGGGGCACCCTTCTTCTACGATACACGTTATAAAAACGAAAAGCAATTGAGACTTGTTTTAGTTAATTTTGTATTTTTTAATCGTTGATATTGTTTTTCTTTTTTTTTTTTTTTTTTCATATTTTTATAGATTAGCTTTTTAAATTTCCAACGATAATAATTATTAAATATTTGTTTCTAATTTGTTTTCAAATAATAATAAATTGGTACACGATGGAAAACATGAAAAAAGGATTACTCTCGTTGAAAGAGAGAACTTAGAAAGAAAGAGACAGAGAGAGAGAAAGAGAGAAAGAGAATTAAGTGTCCCTCTTGTTGAGAGCATGCTTTCTAAGTGTTCCGTTATCCGTGAATATTGGACGCAGTAGCGATGCTAATTTTACAAACTGCCTAACGTCATCGCTATAAACCGATCTCTCTTTCTCTCCCTCTCTATCTTTCTTTATTTTACATTTTCTTTTTTTGTCTCCTTTTAACAGCTCTCCCGATTTAAGTATCGAATCTTGAAAAGATTTACTTTGTTTTCATTGACCTATGACTTACACCTGTTCCTGTGTATATAGATCAACGATTACAAGAAACTGATTAGATTGTGTCGAATATAATTGGACGATCATTGACTCAACGCTTTGTAGACTCACTTTTTATTTGAGTTTAATACGATAATCATTGACTAGCATTTTTGTCAGATTTTTATAGACTCTCTTCTTTAACATTGATTCAAAACATCGTAGACTCTCGTGTCTAGTGTGTGGAATAAAAAATAATTTTTTTATTATATTTTTTTGTAGATCTTTTCATATATTAATTAAACATTACGTAGACTCATTTTCATTGTCATATTTGATGTATTTTTTTGTATATATTCTTATCGTTAGATTCGTACGTTGAGCGTACACTTCGGTAGACTCGCGTTTAATGTCGCCTGATCGTTGACAAAATTTTTCCTAGATACGTACAAATTTTTTTAATGTTTTTTTTTTATTTTTTTCTTTATAAAAAAAACCTTGATAACTTGATACACCATTGCATAGATTCTCTCTTTTATCGTTTAAATTAATTTTGGATTTATATTTGTAATTCAATTTTACGTGGTTTTCGTAAATTTGCATTGGCTAATATCTTTTCGTGTGAATGTTTGTTTTCTTTTCTTTTTTTTATAAATTTTTAAAAATATAAGAATTCAATTTATGAAGATTAAAATGATAACAAAAATATAATTACAAAACGTGAAACGTTTAGGTACTAATATATATATTAATACTATACAAGAGGTTTCGTCATCTAGGAAAGGTTTATTGTGTTGCGAAGATAATACAATGGCGAGATCGCGTTTTATCCAACGAACGAACGCCGACTTTCATTCCGGTCACGCTCTTCTGGGTGCCCATTTAAGGTGCACACACCATGTGCACGAGTATTGCCAATAAATAGCTAAGTTACAAACGACGAGAACCAATCAGGGACATCGTTTTATTGGAAAGATTATTGCTAACTGAATATATTTTCTTGTTTCTTAGATTTCCACATATATATATAATAATAATCTTTACTTATTTATTTATATTATTTATTTTTTAATACGAATCATTGTATTATATATGTATGTATGTATATATACTAAAAGAAAAAAAAAAAATAATAAAAATAAGACCATCGTTACAAGTATTTTAGGAATTGCATAGAAACAAAACATTTCCTTGCATTCTCCGAGATTTTCATGTTTATGGCTTACACTTTGTACTTTTTTTTGTATTTAAACAATCTTAATAAATTTTATGCACTTTGGATTATTTTATGGTATGCATTTACTGTAAAAGAATATTTTTTTTTTTTGTTCTTTTCAAATATATAAGACCATTGATCCGTGTGTTAGAATTGTAAAAACATTACTAAAACGAGTCGAATAAATTCATTTGACTATTTCACGAACGTCGAACCGTGCTTAAATGATAAATCTTTTTCCACCAAGCTCCTCGTTTTATTTCTATGACGCAAATTGTTATTTATAGCATTGGATTACACGTTAGCAACATTTTTCCTCGAGTCATACGTATATTACGAGTGTGTACGAGGATTATAATGATCCTATTCGATTAATGATAGCTTTATTATATGCCTTCCTTTTTCCTTATAGTTTTCTTTTTTTTTAATTAGATTGATCATTTCTTCCCTCGCGTCGTTGTCTTGTTTGACTTATTTTTTTTCTTTCTCGCTTCGAAGCAAATCGGTTTGACACTCGCAATTCATCAATATTTCATTAACTGGCACAATAGTTGATTAATTAGAGTAGCTTTTATAAAAATTTGATATAAAAGAGAAACACGCGTTATATTTGCGTGTTTTAAAATTAATATTAATTATTTTACGAACGGGGTTAATATAAATAAAAATTCTACATTCAAGGTTCTCCTTTTTTCTTTTTTATTTTTTTTTTATTTTAATTTCTCCTTCGTCCGATTGTATGATAATTTTCATTTGAATTATTTAAAAGTATTTTAAATAAAATTGTTTTTAATTTCGATTAAGTTCCCCACCGTCCGTAATATATAATTATTAAATATAAATTGTAGGAAAAATTAACAAGGTATATGTGCCGATAATTATAAAAGCGGTCTAAAAGTCAAGATTTAAAAAGATACGACTTTATCAGTTATATTTCACACCACATTATATTAAACTAAATTAATTCAATGTAATTTTCACGATATATTATTAAAAATAAACTGTTAAATAGTGTTTGTTATTTCAATATTATATATATAGAATTCATTTATTATTCAAATGTAATTTTTTAAATATCTCGAAACATGAAATACATGACTTATCTTAGAAGACCACTTTAATAATTATGGGCACATATACAAGGAAGGATATCAGTTTTATGGGTGTAAACTCCCCACGACGAAGGGTTTTCTCTTTTGGCTTCGTTTTGGGATTGGTTCACCCCCTATCTCTAGTAGTTTCTCTACCCCTCTAGTTTTACGTTTCTTCAATGTGTATTATACACGTATCTTACATGTATGTAAAAGCACGCACACACATATATACATAAGCTACTAGGCAGCCGATAGTATTGATTCACTCGTTTTGGCTGGCATGGCTTCTGCTGTCCCCAACAGCTGTTTTATAAAGAACCCGTACACGGTCACCTCGTGACAGTACTACGGCCATTTAAAACAAACCGATCGAAGAATATATCTATGCATATAAGTGTACGTATATATGTATGTGTGTTCATGTATATCCATATTCAACATTTAAGCTGTTATTTTACGTATATGTAACTCATGTGTGTATATATCTCATATATATTCTGTTGTGTGTGTGGGGAGGGGGAGGGGGGGGTGTATGTAAAACGAGTGAAGTAAATAAGAATTAACATTGTATATATCCGGTTATGGCAGATGTCGTTTAATTATTCTTCTTACGGTGTTAATTGACTAGGGTCGAAATTGAGATAGAGAAGAAGAGAGAGAAAGATCAAGATTAAACGTATAATAAAAAATTATTATTATTATTATTGTTATTATAGTAGAGAAATCTGAAAAGAAGAAAGAGAGAATCGGTGAAATAATAATTTACTTCGTATTTGAATGTAATAGTGAAAATAAATTTTATTCATAATAATGTATCTAATCTTTTTCCAAATGGAAGTTTTCACAATTGTTTTCTTTATGCTAGGGTGTTTAATTTCGTTATCGATTTTCTGACTGCTAATGTGGTGCCTGTCTTGCTTAATGCTTTTCTATCATTTTATTATAAAGGTGCATCTTTTTGACATTTCAAATGTTTCTAAATAGTAAATTTCCAAATCAGTATTGTACCACATCACGAATGTTTTTTACCAACTTGAATTGCATTCTTTAATATTTTCGAACAATGTTTTTTTTTTTTTTT